AAAATTGTTTACTCGCGCACTCGCGAGTCCTAAACGTACCGGTTAATGCTTATAATGTGTCCTTACATGGAAGGAAAGAGAGAGAGAAAGAGAGAAATAACGAAATATTTTGTAAAAATGGAATTAAATGATTTCGTAACATGAAATATCTAGTAAAAATGATCAAATATTCTATAACAGGTATTAAATATTCGGTTGCTACTACTATTTTATTTAATTGATTCAATTCTGAATAAAGCCTTCATACTGCAAGCCAACTAAATATTTGGTAATTAATATCAAATTTCGTAACAGTCATCAAGTATTCTGTCGGAATCTCTAATGAAATGCACTCAAAAAAGAATTTGGTAATAATTATTCAAATTTGACGAATATTTGTCGACCAAATATTTCATTACTGCAATCAAATAATTTAGTTCCGTATACTAAATATACAATATATAGAATTACAATACTGTATATACAATATGCGGAACTAAATTATTTGGTTGCGGTAATCAAATGTTTGATCGAATCAAATATTCACCAAATTTTAGTACTTACCAAGCCTTTTTACAGTGTGCGTTTATTAAGTATTACCAGATTTTTTTTCAGTGCACTAATATAAGAAAATTATGATAGAAATATTAAACCACGTATTATCTGCTGATTAATCAAATCGTACATCTGTAGATGTATTTTTACAGACAAATGTCTCCGGTTTTATCTTGACGAACGAAGAAAGATATATCGCATATATTCGGTAGATTTGATTTGCAAGCGGAGCGTGAACGAATTGAAACACCCGAACGGCCGTATCGTCGTAATCCGTTAAGATGTCGGGAGAAATTTGACGAAACACAAAGCGCCCGTAAACGCGACTACGTTCAGACTGGAAACGGATTGGTTTGACGGGCGATACGGTGGTCGTCGACCCTTTTGTTTCGAGATCGATACGTCGCCGCGCGGCGTGTGTACAGTGCTACATATAGCGCGACGCGCTACACGTCAAACAGGTCGGCTTCCTTAATTTTATTAGCCTCGCATCGAACGTTCCCGGTTCAGTGTTTGCCGCAGAGGGATGGGCGATAAGATCGTGTGATATTACGATGCAACGTTTGTCGCCGGCAATTTGCTTGCTGGTGCTCGCGACGTTTCACAGCCGGGGTGTTTGTACCGTTTATCAAGGTATGCATTTCTCCCCGCTCTAATCCCGACCGAATTTATCCCTCCCTTTCACGGTTAACGCTTTCCCGAACAAAAATCCCATTAGAGATTCCTTCGGTCGTTAAGAGCCCAGGTCTGAAATTAAAGTTGCGGACTTATTCAAAGGAGCAGTGATGAATTGCTCCGTTCGACCGCTTCTCTTTAATCTTCATATCTCTTCCTTAAAGCGATAATAATTATGCGCGGAAGTTTATACAGGGCACGAGAGAGAGAGAGACTGTAACGAGATGGAAAGCTATACGACGCGGCGTGATATAAATTGTGGAATATCAGTAACGCGTAAACGCGGACTGCGTAGGGTACTGAGAGAGACGAGAAACGTGGCGCGAATTGAGATACGTCAGCCACGTTCCTAATTTTCTGCGGGGGAAGTTTCGTCGTCGATCCCTTTCTTCGGGGAGCTCCTCCGCGCCCTATCAGTCTGTCCTATTTCGAGAAAGTCATTGCCATCTATCAGAGCGGAGCTTTCCTCTTGTCGAGCTCAGCGCTCACGCAAGAGCTATTTTTCGCGGTTTCGCGAGCAGAACACCGGTTGAGAGTAGCGGTGGGTCGCGGTACGAGAAGATGACCCATTGTACATCACATCTCTATGCCATCATCCCTTCCCTCGGCGTTGCGGCATTGCGGTCTCAGCATCGTGGATGTTGAAAACGAAAACACGCTTTCTCTCGGTTGCGGGCTCGATTTAAGAATCTCGTCGGACGCACCGTGGCATCATGACGCGGCGTCTTTGAACCTATCGCTCATCTCACCTATCCGCAAATAATAACGCCGCTGTTTCCGGATTTTTCGAGATTCTCCGAGTACGTCTCGTCGAAAATATTTTCCTCGACGGAGTGTTTACACGTTCGGAAATATCGTTCTCGTATAATTTCAACGCAAACGATCCGTCTATTGGAGTCTTCGTATTGAAGATAATATATTTGGTGAGAAATTGTCGTTATTTTCAGTCGCAATCTATATCTTTTCTTTGGTTTTAACTACAAAAATGGTAGTAACTGTTCAGGTTCGGGTTGTTTCTCACTCGAAATATGTGAACTGAAATGTTCACGAAACGTTGAAAAACTAATCCACGAAGGATGCGACGCTAACTCGGAAGTCAAATTAAGCTAGTTGTATCGTAGAGTGACAGATCTTTAGTGACGATATTAAGAGGCGACTAAAAAGTTTATTATTTACTTAAAAAAAATTCTTTCCTATAACTTTATTTAACCTTTCAACCGCACATTTCTGAAAAGTCTGTCGCACCACACACTGGTCATATGGACCCTGTACAATTTCCTAAATTCTATATCTGAAAAACTGTAAAAGGAAAGAGATTGACAAAATTTTAGGATGAAATGTAAAATGTAAAAAACTCGAATTTAGATAGCAATCTTGCGAATAGTAGTGTTTTACTTAAAAAGTCGTAATTTCTATACTTTTTATTATTTTTATTTGCAACTGTAGGATGATGATGAAATTGATAATTCTAACAGAAAAGAAAAAAAACAACTTCAGTGCGCATTCAAGAGACATATACTATATAGTTTTGGTATCATGATTACAAATATATTGAATATTTTTCTCTCAGTGTAGCTTCTTCCGAGCCTGAGCCCTTTATCGAGGCACTTGATTGAACGATTGCTAATTAAATGTCCGACTGCGTCCGAAACGAGGGGAATAATTTTTTTCGAGGGGGAAACGCCGCGTGTGCGAGTGACGTTTCTCCATGATATAGTACCGTCGAGCGAGAAAACTGCTGCGCTTATACCGCGAAATGATGATCCATTGTACGTGCTTCGCGGCGGCTTCATTTCTTCCCCCCGTCCTCTTCTTCTCTTCTCTGTCTTATCGTGCGCTCCTGCGGCGTACAACGATGAAATTGATACCTTATATCGAGAGACCTCGCCTTTTGTAACATTTTCACCTATATACGGGAACACTCTTCCCCACGTCTTCGCTACGGAACGATGTCCGGCATTACAGGAAAGACGAGAAGAGCCGTTGCTAAAAATATTCTCGGGCCTGCAATAAACGTTCATCAGATCCATTCAGTCCCTCCTTTGCTCTCTCTGCTCGATCGGTCTCTTTCTTTTTTAATAAAATATCCCCCGAACAGTCGAAATATGGAGCTGATTTTTCGCACATTTATCATAATTTCCGAATTTCGATGTACAAAATGAATTTATCGCGCAATTATCGATCGCCGTTTAATTGTACGCGCGGGGCATTTATCGGCTCACATGCGGAGGACTCAACTTTGAAGATAGATATTTCGCGATATTACGCAACCCATGTTATTGCTATTATTTAACGCCGAAAGTTAAATAATGGGCAATTGTTGATGACGAAATATCATCAGCGGTACGTACAACGGGCGTGCGTGATTATTTAGAAACATTCCTCTGGTTTGTGAAATTTCCGCGCTGAATTTCTCATTGAGATGGAAATGCGCGCAACAACATAGCGCGTAACAAAGTAAAGCGTGTGCGCACGCGCCCGCGTATAATGCGCGCTATTGATGAGCGAAACGTACGCGCACACACGTGGAAATCTGGACTGGTAATAGTCAAGCGATACATTATCACGATAAATTCGCGATCGTAGATAAATGGACGGGCCCGGTAAAAGTGTGTACCAAAGGTAAACGTTAAATATTATAGAAGCAGCGATGCGAACGCTAACCAACTTACCTTCACTCGATCCCGCAACAATGCGGTAATTGTGTAACTGTTGTACTCGCTCTACGGATTCTGTGTGTACACGCGGACACCTGTTCACCCGTCGAACAAAAATATCCTCGGTTATTGATCGTAACATATAATTACACGTAATTAAGCGGTCGCACGTGAGATTCGATTATTCAAATGCGCAGCTATACGTATCTCCCGTGAACTGATAACGGCCCGCTCTGTTTATCCTGCCGATGACGAACGCTTGATGTCCCTTCTCAAGGGCGTTACACACGCGCTGCCGATTTGCCGGACGGACACGAGCTCGTGATACCGCGGAGAGTCAGATCGGACGGGAGTTTCGTGTCTCATCGGATACCTCATCACTTCGAGCGCTCCTTCTATCGAAATCGAACGACTTCCGTCGACGAGAACGGCGACGATGCCGTGCACTATCGTCTGCGTATCGGCCACGAGGAACACCACATCGAGCTGTATCCGAATCACCGGCTCCTCGGCCCGGCCGCGGTAATCGAGGAGCATCGAGGATCGCGGGATTTTTTGGATAACGTGAAATTGAAGCGGCCGCGGGACACGCAGTGCCAGTATCGGGCCCGCGTGCGCAACTATTCGGAAGATAGCGCCCTGTCCACCTGTTACGGGCTCGTTAGTCGTTATTGAGTGTTACCTCGTTCGATTGATCAGTTACGGTTCGAATGATCGCGGCTGTAACAATTTTAATGGATTAAAGTTCACCTCTGGGGGGGAGGAAAAAGAGAAGGGAACGATTCGATTGATATTTTCGTGCAACGCGTTCGTCCCTTCCTTTCAGCGATGTAAAGCTATTTACGTAATACGCGAACGCGTGGACGTTAACGAGAGTAACGAAGTATTTCATTCCATCGTCGGGAATATTTTTCAGAAAGATCTGAAGAAATATATATAGGTGATGTGTGTACACGTGCGGATGTGAAAAGTAAATTCGGAGGAATACATAAATCGAACGTTGCCTCCTTTTCCGACGGGAATAGATTGAATAGGGGGGGNGGGGGGGGGGGGGAGGGTTTAGGGTATCACCAGCGGGCGTCCTAATATTTGATCTCTCAGGTCGGATATATCAAAACGAGGAGCGCGTGGTACATGATTGAGCCGGTGGCTGGGCATGACTTTACCAAAGAAACGGAGCAACCGCATATCGTATATAAAAGGAGCACGGACGAGTTTCAGCGCGCCGCACGAGATCTCTGCAACGTCACCGGCGATACCGGGTCCAGGATCATCGCCAGGCGCGCTCTGAATTCACGTAAGAGAGAGCCCGCGAGATCGAACGGGGCGAAATCGTACACGCTGGAGCTGCTGGTCGTGTTGGACAAGTCTCTCCTGGATTATCACGGGAAGTTTGACGTCGAGAATTACGTACTGACGCTCTTCAACATGGCGAGTTACATAAAACCCTACCGTAGGAATTCTCCGAACTCGTTTCTCTCTCCGAGGAAAAACGGAAAATTTAAAGGAAGTTTCTCTGCCCAGGCTGCGAGTCTGTTTCACGACGTCAGTTTGGGTGTGCGCATGCAGCTGACTATAGTGAGAATTATAAGACTAGAGGTGGAAGAAAACGAGGTAAAAGCGCTCGGTAGAGACCTTTCGAATTTTAAAGGAAGCTTCCTACGCTGCGGGAGTGCAAGGGTCCACGCTATTGTATGCGATGCGCGTCTAATGATCGTAACTTATTGCGCCTGTTGCGCGAAGGCGGGGATTTCTCTTTAATGTTTACACCGTCTCATAATTTATACACGATGTACTGCGCGCACGACGAGCTCCAAACGTTGTCGATTATACGTTGCAGATGAATCTGTCGATGAACCAAGACGCGGATACGACGTTGAGGCGTTTCCAGGAGTGGCAGAGCACCATGAATCCCGGCGACGATTCTCATCCGAATCACCACGATTGCGCGCTTCTCATTAGCAAGTACGAAAGTCCTACCAGCCAATTCTACCGGAGATTCAATCTAATCTCGGGATTAACCGGTGCTTTTGACGACTGATGACTCCCGGCAGGTTAGACATCTGCGTCTCCCGTGATCTCTGCGGTTTCACCGGTACGTCCACGATCGCCGGTACGTGCGATCCTACGAAAGGTGCGGCTATTGTGAGAGACGCCGGCCTGCCGACCGGTTATCACATAGCTCATCAGATAGGCCACACGTAAGCGTGTAATTAATTTCATCCGCTCCGACCCGATTAGACGGAAAACGAGGGGTGGGGGAAAAATCTCGCGTAATTACGGCGCGCCGCTACAAACGATGTAAATGCGAATTCCGGGGTTTATATACTGGGTGGCTTAGTAATCATGGCTTAGTAATCAATACAACCGGGAAGGGGATGATTCCTCTTGAAAAAATAAATCGATAACGTTGAATAGAAGTTTTTCATATGAGATTTTGCTCTCGAGGAAATCGATTTTAAAGGTTGTACCTGGTGGAATTGATTTTAAAGGTTGGTCGAATACACGTGCATTTAAGATAGTTGGCTTGTCAAACTATTTTTTCTTAGGAATCCTTTCAAATTTCAGCCACATTGATACAAATACTATCTACACGTCTGTAAAGCCTGTAAAGTCAGAAAGCGATTGACTGTTCGGAAACAGAGATATTCGCAACTAAAATTGACACCTTTTATACCCCCGGGGTGTCGAACAACAAAACGAATTTTATCATATTAACACGATATTCCCCGGCCAATGGCCACACTTACATAACATCGACGGCGGCGCGGCCGGTGTTTCGTCACATACCCTCGTTTCGATCGGGCGGGGGGCACATCCCAGAGGCAGATTTCTCGTCCCTCGATAGCCGCTTCCCTTCTCTTTACGCGTTATCTTGAATACTGGTCCTTTTCCGCGCGTTCGACAACAGCGGAGAGGGAGAGGGGGAAAAAAGGAAGCTCGAAATAAATTCCTAAAAGACCGTTTCTCCGGCCGTGAGTGGAAATAATGGTATGCCGTGACGTCGTCATAAATAAGTCACGGTCGAGGGCGTTGTTTAATGTATGAAGCGGCTCTTCGTGTACCTCGAGATGCCTCTTAAGAGCGAGCCGGCGAGACGCTCACGCGCGTGCCCTGATAAATATTCCAGACTGAAAAGCCGATTTTCTTTTTCTCATTACCACCAGCCTGGGTATGTCGCACGACGTGAGACGGGAGAACGGCTGCTCCGGTATAGTTTATCACGGGGACGGATACGTGGAGACCACCGTTATGCACCCCGGCGACATGTACATCACGAAAAAATGGTCCGAGTGCTCCCGGCGCTACCTGCGCTCGTACATCGAGTGAGCTTAATGCTTGTTGCTCTCCCGTCGCCGGCTTTATTAAAGTTCGCCGACGACGGAGCTGCTTTCCTCATCTACTCGCGGCGCGTTCGCCGGCGGAACAGAGAGGAATGTATCTCCTACGGCTACGGCCGTAAACCTCAAATTAAATTAAGAATAGCGCGAGTCCCGGACCGGCTGATACGGCGAGATATGAAAAGACGAGCGACGATGACGGAGTCCTCCGTCCGTGAATATTTCCTCCCGTTCCGGTAGTAGATGAGGAGTCGCGTCCTGGCGTCGCGACGCAATGCGCAACGCGAATTTCGAGGTGACTGTCGAGCCCGTCGTTGCTCTCAGGCAAGGTCTGGCGTTTTGTCTGGAGGATGAGCCGCAGGATCATCATTTTCCTAGCGCGGAGATGTTGCCGGGCGTGATGTACAACGGCGACGATCAATGCCGTTTGCGATATCGAACGGGTGCCCGGCAGTGCGATATGGGGATCGTAAGTCGTAACGGAGAGGCGGGCCGTAATCTTAAGGGCCCGTCGGCCGCGAAGTAACTCGGCGGAGGGTCGTCCTCCTCCGAGGACGAGAATATCGAGTCCGTTAACGAGCCCGATAACGCGTCTACGCGTACGTTTTATCGTATCGGCAGCTCGCACGTGGCGGATGCACGTGGCCCGTAAAGAGGCACCATCTGCCGTTCGCATCTACAAGCTGGTGCCTTTGCGGCCTACCTTATCCGTTTAGGAAAATACGTCTCGGCCACGCACGGTGTCAGATAAGAGAGGCCGAGCCGGGATCGCGATATCGCGTCGAGATATCGCGATCGGCACGCACACGACTAAAAGCGAGACGATCTCGCCCCCGTTTTCAGACCTGCGAAACCCTCAGGTGCGCCCTGCCCGGCAGAGGTTGCGTGTCCGCGAGGAAACCACCTGCGGAGGGCACTCCGTGCGGCGAGAAGAGGGTAAATTATCATTTATGAATAAAGAGCGCAAAGTAAGGCGCAAAGGATGATCCACGTGAGGTGTCACCGCGACAGTCGCGATTCTCGTTGATTCCCCGCGAATCCGTGCGGTACGAATCGCCTCCTGAGATCCTTGAACCTTACACTGAGCTTCTCTTCCTCCCACGCCATAATGAATAGGAATTTTCTTAATTATGGGTGTACTTTGAGAAAAAAATAGTCAGGTGCTAAAATCCAGCTGCTAAATACCGCATTTAAATGTTACCCCTTGTCTGCAATCTTGCTTTAAGCAATAATCAAATTGACCAACTATAGTTGTTTATTAATAGAATAATTGTTCATATTGTTCGGTTAATCTGCTTGTATCTTAAAATAAGATTGAAGACAAGAAGTAAAGTATGACGGCTCCGACGACAAATTCTTTTAAGATAAATTGTCAATATTGAGCCATGAGGAGCCACGATGAATCTTTCAGTGTCATTAGATATCAATAATATTTACTTGTTAATATAATGATAGTAGAGTGAAATTATCCATCATGTTTGTGAAACGTACGGAATTATTTCTCATAACATAATTTAATAGATAGAATCATTAAATTGTTCATTAATTTAATTATTTATTAATTTATATTCAATTAGCAGTTGAGTGAAAGGTTATATTTAATATAATTTTAAATTGATAACGAATGTTATTGCACGAAGAAAAATAATTTGCTGACACAAAAATTTTTATGCGGTCGCAACAAAATCTGTCGGTTACTATATGGACAGCAAAACGATTTGTTAAGAATAGCAATTGCTGAATGATTTTCGCTGAATCTACAAATTATTTTGCTCTAAGAACAAATCAGCGAATATAAGAAGACACTATTTTGTTCTAACAGTAAATTAACGTGTTCTAAAAACAAATTCTCTCAACAGAATATCGTTGTGTTGTACTGTTTTAATTACGAATAATTCGATAATTTTGTTATGCCAACTAAATCTTATTGCTGTCGTAATGAATGTATAGCAGCAATGATAGTTTCGTTACAACAGCAAAATTTCTTTCCCCGTGTGAGATTCAAAGGATTATACGTGGAAGGCTGTCGCTAAGTTTCGTCTGTCTGAAAAATAATTCTGTCTGAAAAACATTTCGCATATACGATGGACAACTTTATGTTAGCGTTATTATATTATATAATATTATATAATAAAGTGGCATTAATATCTGGAACTAAAACATCCATGTTTGGCTCATGGCATCATGGTTTGATATTGACAATTTAACAACAATGAAATTTATCAGTTGCGGTAGCAACGATATTAGCTGTTAGAGCATAAATGCATTTGCTGCGAGGCACGACTATATTGTTCACTGTAACGCCTTAATTCAAGTAGATATTAATTTTAACAACGACGTTTGCTATTCCTATTTCAGCTCCTATCGTTAATCCTTTCTCTAAGTGTAGACCGCGATTACTCCTTATCTATAGGGTTTTCTTGAAACTTAAAAATTCTGCACATTAGAAAGTAGACTTGCGATCGAACTAAGAAAAGGTCATTGAGAACTCGCGTTAGAGGCATGACAAGACGTATCAGCCAAACGTTTTGGTCACGCTCCCGAGTGCTTATCGGGGAAATGAAAAATCGAGCGTCAAACGGAACGCATTACGTGCGAGAAGATAATTTCTAGAAAAAGGGTCCTCGGCTTGAGTGTATTTCTCGACACAGAATAACTTAGTGCGATATCAGCCAAAAGCAGGGGAGATTTATGAGAATTAATTATAGAGCTCTCTTGCGTGCACATATTCCGCTCGCTCGTGGCAACATGCCGCTCATCGAGATATTCGTCGCCGAGTGTAACCGGGATGAATAAGTCCTTGCTCGGCCGCGAGGGCCTTGAAAGCATATCGGTGCGCGGAGATCCGAAGAAAAACTACATATTGGCCGATTAATCAAGGTTCTCGAAAACCTTTCACCGGCGGGCCATTACGCTGGGACGGTTTAAATATCTCGTGAAAGACGAGGCGGGAGTGCATAGTGGAAAGCTAAAAAGCTATCTGGATCCGCCATCGACTGTGAGTCACGCGCCCTTTTAGAATCGAAACCAGTTTCAGCTTTCACCGAGTTTCATTGGCCCTTAAGGCTACGTGGCGTGTAGCGATGTTAAAAATTGCACGCGGGTATACGAGGAAGAGAGAGAGAGAGAGAGAAAGAGAAAGAGAGGGAGAGGAAGATACGTACTCGAGAGGTATGTACGAACTAATATCGCGCAAATCCTCCATAAACTCTTTCATAGCGATGCTTTCGCGAGTTCGCGGAAAATTGCAGACTTTATGTAACTGTTTCTTGCGGCGCGCTGCTAGTTTAGCAAACAAAGCCTCTCACGGAGAGACTAATACACTACAAAGGCTACTCGAGAGATTGTACCGTTTACACTTGGAAAACCCAGCAATGAATTGAAAAGTTGAAATGAAGAGGAGGGGAAAAAGAACGGCGTGAACGGAGAACGGGGAAAATCGAGGAGAAGTCACGGGTGAATCTGCTCCGGAAATAAGAAGATTTATCTCTACGGCTCATTATTATGAAAGAAAAAGGGGGAGCACTTTCTGTTTCGATCGGCCTCGCATGAAAAGGAGGTGCGCGTCCTTGCGTAAAAGGTTCACGCAAGTGAAACACGTCCCAACTGAGTAAAATATTTCGGGAAGCGAGACACACCGCTCAAGTCGGCGAGCGAAATAATTTTTTAAGCGGTCGGTCGAGCATGCGTCGCTACTTGACGTTTCAAAGGTGTTCCGGCCGAATGAGACGTGATGGAACGTCGCCGCGCGTGAGAACGTAATGGCGTGGCAACGAACAGTGTCCAAATATCAGTCATCAGCGAAATATCAGATTTGGGTGACAATGTTAATAACCGAGCGTGCCGGAGCGCCGAAGCACGCAGACGGCAGTCATTAGCGCGCCGACCGGCCGACCTGCCGGTAGTCGGGGTTGTCGGTGAGGCCAAACACCACGTTGAGAAATGAACCTCGTCGTGAACCCGACCGACGAGTAATCTCTAATTGCCCGAGCGAGCTGTGAACCGAGTCTATAAACGACGTCGACACGCGCGCGGTGTGTGTCGGCGAATCGGCTCGGCGCGCCGAAGCGGATGAGCCCCCTTACCGTCATCGCGGAAATTTCAGATATATATCCGGATACGGGAATATCGGTAAACAAGCTACCCAATCACGAAAAAAATATTTATCCTCGGAAACGTAAATTTTTATCGAATAAACATTGGTTCCGATCGCAAAACACGCGCGCTCCGTGTATTGATAAGAGTGGATGAAATACGTGCGTATCCGCTTTTTAAAGTGTACCACGATCGACTTCGATATTTAAAACAAGAAAAGCTTAATATTTGAGTTAAATGACCCGACGCATAAAGAGAGAGAGAGAGAGAGAGAGGGAGAGAGCAAGAGGAGGGGGTGGGGAGGGGTGAAAATTTCGTGCGATGAAATTTAGCGAGTAAAATTGGGCAACGCGCCGGCAGGCATTGCGAAGTTTTGAAAAAATTGAAATCGGAACGATAACATCGAGCTACGGAAATAGATTGATCTACCTACGTGCGTAAAAACTCGGTTTGTTTGACATGTCCGTTACACAACGGACCAATGCAATCATCGGTGGAATGAAATAGACAAATAGATGCGTAATTGTAGTTCGCGGAGCGAAGAGCAATTATCTCGTCGCACGGCCGAGGGCGGATTCGCCGGTGCGTGCACCGCGGAATCGAGCCCGGTGGCTTTGGCGCGCGCGCGCACTTTAATACGGACGTTCGAAATGAAAAAGTGAGGTGGCTAAAATTCAAGCAGCCATTTCGAGCCGGCCGACATCCGGCCGGCTGTTCGCTTTGAGGACACGAGATTCTCGTTCGAAAATTCATCGTTCTCGCGAGCGCGAAGTGCGCTCCAACGATGGAGTCGAATGTTTCCTCCATGTGTATATGTGTGTCAGACGTAAAATATCACGTAATCGATATTAACATACGCGAACGAGCCAGCGTGAACGCGTGCCGTTAGAAACGATTGTTGTTCCCGACGAACCACTGTTTTTAACACGTTCGCTGCCGCGTGGATCGTATTCGTTCCACGGAGAAAGGAGAAACGTTTTTTTTTTGTAAAAACGTGTCTTAAAATCGGTCCTTGTTAAAATTTCTGTATTCAAATTTTTCATATATCTGTATTTAATATGTTGTTTATGTTACCTTAACATTTTGTGTTGCGTCGATATTCGACATGTAAGTGTTAAAATAACACATTTTATACTTCAATGTGTCAAATATTGCATCACCGGGAAAAGATGATAATCGCAAGAAGTCATGTACGATGCCTCGGGGAACACTTAAAATTGCAGAAGTCGTAAAGGGGCTCGATAATGATTAATTATTCATTATTCGTACCTGGTCGTTAGTGTTCTAATGGAAGGAGATGGAGATAGGTCGTTGCGCGAGTAGGAGAAGCGTATAAGAATATATTCCTCTCTCAAGGCACAAATTCCCCTTCCGAGGGCGCGTGCATCATTTACCTTCGTGCATAATGCACTTCCCCTCCTCCCCCGCCCGGAAGGGTTTCACCCCGGAGTCTTGCGCGTTCGTCACCGTGACGCGACACGACGCGACGTCGTCTAACGACTGTTACAGTGGTGTTACCGAATGAAATGCCTGATGGTGGGTGAACGACCCGGAGTCACGGACGGCGGTTGGGCCGACTGGTCGTCTTGGAGCAGATGTTCCCGGACTTGCGGCTCCGGAGTGGCGTACGCCGTGAGAAGGTGCAACCGACCGCCTCCGTCCGGCGGCGGCTCTTACTGCGTCGGTGACAGGAAGCGTCACAGAATCTGCGCCACGGACGTTAGTCTCGGCACGAAAGTGCTCTCGAGCGGCTTCCACGGCGAGTGTCGCGCGCGCGCGGACCTCCGGTTAGCGCTTTTCGCGTCTTCCGCGTGGCTCGTCGCGCGTGGAAATCGCGAGGACGTTTCCTTCACATGGGAAACGAGGAAGCGCGATGGACGATAATGTTTCGTACGCGCTGCGCCGACAACTCGCCGTTGAAGGTCTCCCGCGAGGAATTCGAGATAATCAATCTCAACGTAACGAATCGAATGATTTCTTACAGCCGTGCGATCTCAACGCGCCGTCGTTTCGCGACGCGCAGTGCGCCGAATTCAATGACTGGGTGTTTCCGGAGGACGGCAAGGTTCATCGCTGGGTGGCGTATAATTTGCCGGAAGGTGTGTCTACGAGCAACGTCTGCTTTCCCCCGTTGACCTCTTGACCTCTTGTCTTTCGTAGACTTGAAAGCGTCCGAGAATCCTTGCGCCCTTTACTGCCTGAGCGAGACGAATCTAGTGACGTCGCTGAGGCCGAAAGTGGTGGACGGTACCACATGCTACCGAGGCATTCGGGATATTTGCATCGGAGGTGTGTGCAGAGAGATACCCTGTGACCTGAATATGGAGTCCACCGCGGTCGAAGATGTTTGCGGCGTTTGTAGAGGCGACAGCACGTCCTGCACATTGAAGCAGGGAACCTTGTCGTTTACGACGCAGTCGCGTAAGAAAGGAAATGTGATTTGTCGAGTGTGTGCATGCGTGTGTGTGTGTGTGTGTGGTAGCATAAAAATAAATTTTCCTGAAATGGATAAAAACGTAACGTGTTTCAGTCGAAGGAAACAGAATTTCGGGCCCTTATAAGTCAAATTCGGCTCTTATAAACGAAGGGGAGAAAAATATTTCGTTGGTACGGCAAATTTTATGCTGTTGAAGCAAAATCTGTCGGTTACATTGAGACAGGAATACTTAAACATCGATTTGCGGGGGATATAAAGTTTATTTCTGTGAATAAATCTTAATTTTAAACCTATTATTTCTGTGAAATAAACCTTATACCTCACAAATAAGTTTGAAACCCTCCATTCGTTACCGTTTTGTCGCAAAATGTTTGGATCCTCTTCCAATATTATGTAACATGTGGTATTACTTTCCCCTTCGTTTATAAGAGTTATATTAATAAACTCCTCCTTCTCTTCGTAGCGTGACATAATTGTTGAATAATTCCTTTTGGTCTAATAGCAAATTAACATGTCTTAAGGACAAATTCACTCAGCCGAATATTTTTTATCCTGGTAAAAATTGTTTTCCTTTTAATTACTAATTGTTTTCGTTTTAATTACAAAATTGTTTCCGTTTTAATTACTAATAAATCGTTAATTTTGTTAAGCCAACTAAATTTTACCGCTGCCGTAGCGACGATGATTTTGCTAAAAAAGCAAAATTATCTTTCTGCGTGCGGAAATTTTGTTTCCCTCAATCAGAACGCGTTTAATTAGTCCAGGTAAATTCAACCAAACTGTTTCTTCCGTTGTAATATTCAATTGCGTGCGAGTGCGAATATTCAAAGACGTCACTTTGATACCTTTGAATATTAAAATCTCGTTTTCGGAAGGCTTCAGAGAGACGTTTCATGTGCCAGAATGTTGAGTTTTCGCATTACGAAGAGGTACTCTCGCGATATTTTAAAAAATTCCAAAATGGCGACAGAATATCATTGCTCCGTCTGTTTTTCGCGGAGATTTCGAATTTCTATCAGTTTTCCGTTGGCGTTCTTTATAATAATTTTTCGAGGTACATGCGCTCGCTCTTACTATTCAACGCCGGGAGGAATTTCGCGAGTTGACAAAAATACCGATGAACTTCAGGCATCGCGCCGCGCGGCGGAGTGAATGGGACGGCGAGTACAAGGGGAGGGAGTGGGGACTTTCGTGAATTAAAATTCCGCAATTCTGCAGCGCAGAAGTATACGGCGCGTTCAGTTTTGCTCTTCCACCGGGAATCCCGTGCGGCGCTTTGAGCATCGCGACAGCCAAATAAATCTTTCCGGCGGCGCAATGACGCCGTGGTGCCGAAATTGGAATTTCGGCGAATAATACTGCGCACGCGAGCGAACGAGACAGAGAGAGAGAGAGAGCCGGCTCTTCGTAGTAATCTCCTGAGCGAATTTTCGCGTTTAGGGCTCAAGAAAATAACGGACGCGCCGGCGGGCTCTAGAAATATCCGCATCGAGATGGTAGAACCGACCAAATCCAGAATCGTCGTGCGTACTAGGAGTACGAAGACTGTGCTGATCGACGGGTAAATAAGTTCTCTCTCTCTCTCTCTCTCTCTCGTCGCGCCTTTTTTCAACTCGTCCCTTCTTCGTCTGTTTTGCTCGCGGTGTCTCGCGCCAACCGCAACCACCAGTCTCGCTTGGCGATTAACATCGCGGCGTAATTATTTCAGTAACCGTCTAGGAATGTTCGACGTGCCAGGCTCCAAGGCGTGGCTAGGAACGATAAGGCCAAGACAGGAAGCTTTGAACATACCTGGACCCATCACCGAGGACTTGGTTATATTGGTAAACATAATGAATGCATTCTGCTAATTAGTCGCGCCTCTCGGCGAATCGATAACTTGTATCTCGAAAGCCGAGCAGGGTGTTGGTACTCGGTGGACGTGTGCTATCGGCGAGAACGCGCGAGAAGAAAATTATGCAGCAGCGTAATACGGTCGTCGTCGTGTACGCTGCGCTATTTTCTAAATCGAAAATTGTATGATTTTCGGCTCCACATGTTTACATAAGAAGTCGAAACCGTTGTAATTGGAGTCATTGCAACCTTGCTATATACATTATAACTGGAGAACCTTATACAATTTTCAACCTTACGGCTTATGTATAAGACTGGAAATCGTGTAATTTTCTATCTAGAGAATGGTGCAATGTATTATTAATGCGTATCGACTGTATTTCCAATACGCGGACCGGAGACACTGCAATCGTCGCTAATAATAACACTGGTGAACAAGGTTTCTCTGTCTGGAATAAGGAAAGGTGTTCCTGAATAGTTTTTGTGCGCGAATACGTTGTCCAAATTTGGTTATTGGGTCGCAATTTTGAGAAAAATGACGGCGAAAAACGCCAACTTTGAACATTTTCATGACGTTGTAGCACCGATAGCAAATTTTTCCCCTATATTTCGTTAAAGCCATGCAAAAATATTAGTTTCTAGCTTAAAATGCATTTTGTGCCGTCTCGGTGTGATTTGTTGTTTTCAATATAGATCTAAAATTAAATAAAATCGTGCCGAACATATCGATGTCGAGCACGCGCGACCAGTGTTTTTAATTTTAATTATACCTTGGAAACGAAAAATCACACCGAAACGATGCGAAATGTATTTTAAAACTGAAAGTTGATACGCTTTTGCGTAGTATTAACGAAATTTTGGAAGAAATTCCCTGCCGGTGGTACAACGTCATAAAAACTCGAAAAATTAGCGTTTTTAGCCTCTTTGAAACCAGTTTTTTGTAAATTGTGACCCAATAGACAAATTTGGATAATGGATTCAGCAGACGCAAAGCATTCGGCTACGCCTCATTCTCATACAGATGAAAAGTGAAAATTTGTTGACCAATATAGTTGACAATATAGTCGGCTGCTGTAATCTTCAAAGGACGCACATTTTTGTCAAATAAAATGTTTAATTTACGTGACGTGGAATCAAACATTTCTAACATCTCGTCGCGCGACAAGACGACCGGACGATCCATTTTTTATCTTTAATCATGACGACCACGACGACCAGGACGACGAAGTTTTCTCCGCCGCATTACGCGCTTCCTATCATTTTCTTCCGTTTATCTTGCGGTTTAAGATTAAGCTACTTTGGAAGCTGCATTAAAGACAAATTTAGTTTTATCTCCTCACACTGTACTTACCCGACGGCCGGTTAATCTGACAGGTTTTACCAAAGGAGAACGTCACGTTGAAATACTCGTTAGGATTGAAGCGACGAACTCCTCGTAAACCCGAGTTCTCCTGGAACTTTATCGACTGGGAGAAATGCTCAGCAGGCTGCGGTCCGGGCGAGCAGATATCGAAACCCCGTTGCGTTGAGAAAATCGGCGGACTGGTGGACGACAGCTACTGCAGCCATCTCGCTAAACCGGACGCGAAGGTCAGACCGTGCAACGAGGCTTCCTGCGTACCACGGTGAGTACCGCGGAGTCCTTTCGCGTCGCTTTTTCACACTTGGTCCATTTGTACGGCTACTTGGTAAATCGCGCGAGAAAAAGTAGCTGCGATCGTTAACGTTTTTCCGCTGCACGCTGCGGAGAAGTCGGGATACGAGGTGGTTACCGGCGTGTACTGGAGGAATTACAAACATACGTTATGTTTCGTTTATTGACGACGATTCGAATGACGAGCAGAGTCCTAGATACAAATAGAAAAGCGCAATGGAAAAACGTCGGTTTTGATTAATCGTCTGAGTCAGATGACATAGGCGCCATTTTCTTTCTGCGATCACGACTAAGAGCATATGACCACAGTTAAATGATAATATTTTTGTTATGTATGTATTTAGTACATTACATGATTCAATAAAATCCTTTTTCGATGCGCCAGGTCGTAACGAGTAGCTGCACAGAAATAAAAGTGCTAGAATCAAGTAAACGTAATTACCGGTTTTTCAGCCTCGAAATTCAAGTAATATTTTTATCGATTTAAATATATTATAATAGCCCGCCCGATAAATATTTATTTGAATACAGTAATACCTTAATTTGTAAATCAATTACTGAATGTAAGTGTAAAGTGGTTCTAAATTTAATGGAGCATTCACTGAAATTATGTAATACTTCTTTTCCGCTGAAGAAACCTAATGGTTTTTCAAATTTCAATTTCTCTATCCGGTAAATATTTTTTAAAATAAATTCTGATTTTCTCAATGTTATGAATTTAATACTTGTCGCGATTGTTTTAACACATGCAAAGTAAATGCCTGCTTATTGAAGGAAACATTTTATTGTATACATAAACAATTATATTGTCATTTCTGTTAATATTATCAAGAAATATTGGAGTAACCTATTTATTTAGGGTAACCAAATATTATTTAAACGTCGGCACTTTCCTCGGTGTATAAATTATGGTGAGAATATGGTGAGATGATATGAGAATATTTCCACTTAGACTAATTATTGAGATGAACTTCTTGTAACCTGATCTAATCTCTCCTCCTTACTCTCACTTTTTTCCCCGGTCGCTCCAAGCATCACCGTACAAGGAAAATGATAAACTTCTGATACGTCGGACTTAATTGCGCTTCTCCATCAATATCAGGCTTCCACTGACGATAACAGTAACGTTGAAACGAATTCGCTTCTTATCGTCGTCGGCTCGTATCTCGACGTTTGTTTTCCGGACGCGTTAGACAGAGTCATCAGCGCTTATCTCGAAGAGCCAACGAAAGGACATGACATCGCACGATAATCACCGGCGCCGGCTAATTAAAGCGGCGGCGCTTATCGTCGCGCGATTCCAGGTGGATCATCGGCGAGTGGCAAGGCTGCGCGCCGTGTACGCCAGGCTGCGAGAGAAGGCGCGCTGTCAAGTGTATACGGCCCGTCGGCCGTGGCGAGCAGGATGTCGAGGTGATCGAGGACAGCTACTGTCAGGGACCAAAGCCCAAGGAGTCGGAGCCCTGCGCCAGCCGACGGAGACGAGAGGACGCGAGCGCCGCCGACGGCGAACACGGCGGTCCTTCCGGCGCTCGCTCGAGCATGCTAACGCGACAGAACGACTTCATTAAAATCGCTCGAGACTCCGGCGAGACGGCTCCGGGCGATGTCGTAGGAGACCGATGCGATCGCGACGATCTCTCGCGAACGGGGCAAATCGCGGGGGAGAACGCGCCGAGTCTCTCTCGCTCGATCACCGCCGAATACGTCAACGCGTTCCCGGATACGAGGACGGATCTAATTTCGCGAAACGGCCCGAGAAATCCGACGACGAGGGGATCTCGGGAGGATCGTCCGCAGCCGGGTAAAAGATCAGGCAGCGCATTGAACGACGACGAGAAGAATGTCGGCGAGCGCGAGATCAAGAAGGGAGAAGTGGTGGTTGATAAGGAAGACATCCGGAATCTGACGCTCGCGATTATCCTAGAACGGGACGACCGGAACGTAGTCATGAACTTTCCGAAGGACTTCGAGCCCCGACCTCCGCCGAACGGCACTGAATTCGTCTTGATCGGCATGGACGCTCTCAGGTACATACAGAGGATCCAGGAGGAAGCGCGCGCCTCGTGATTTCGACGCGACGACGGCAGACCGATGGCGCGAATACTCGCGGAACGAGAGACCCGTCTCCTCGTCCTTACGACCGGGAGGGAGAGAAAAGGGATTTATTATCGGGCGAGACGTATGCGAAAAGTTCACTCTCCGCGGCGTCTTAAGCACGGGGAGGGGGAGGCGCTGAGTGAAAAGACGTTACGCGATCCGGGACTTTAATGCGCCGTTGAGCGGAAGGGCGGCGTCGATTGCCGTAGTTGGCTCGCGTCGAGGAGAGAAAGAGAGCACAGATTGCCGTATCGCCCGAGAGAGAGAGAGAGAGAGAGAGCTATAAAAACAATCGTTACGTTATACGGCCGAATTATACTTAAGCTGCGGCCGCTTTTATATCGTCGGACTCGAACGATCGGGGACTCGCCGCGGCGGGAATCCGCGCGCGCGAATGACGATTGCGATGGGAGTCGCGTCGCGAGATTAATCGGCCGATTAAATCAGCGACGGTGTTTAAGTCCGGCTAACACCGGCCGGTAATTGACGGTAAAAGCGGCGATGGATATCCACTAGCGGCCGAAGATAATCTCTCAATATGCGGCGGTGCGCGAACGAGCGACATAAATTACAGCTGAACGCCACGAGGATGATCTTCTCCCCCTCCCCCAGCCGCGACCCACTAACGAGCCTCGAGCCGCCGAGCGGCATTGATCTTTCGGATTCGTCGTTTGTAAGTTATTTATGGCGGGGGCGATACTTCGTAACGATCCGAGATTACGCTCTCTCCGCCCGTAATGGCCCCGTCGTCTTGGCGGTATCGTTAGGAAGCGAGTTCTGGTGCGAGCGCGACGAATTTTCTTGTACCAATAAAGATTAAGTGGCAAAAAACGCGCGAGTCATTAATCTTGAGTTTGTACTTGTAGTATATCCGCCGTAAGCTGTGACGTCCGTCTGAAAGTCTCACGAGCGGTCTCGCGCGACTTTCTGTCGTGCCGCGTGTGCGCTCGATAGTATCTTCCATTCCTCGTGCGACCTGTCATATTAAACTTTTTTTCTTTCCCCGCCTGTTTGATTTTTTTCGTCTTTCTCGTTCGGCCCGACGGCCTTTATCCCGACGACGGGGTTACTTAATCGCAACCGTGACGTAAATCAGCAAACGGTCCCGCTCAGTCAGAGCGCGGAAAGATGTCCCAACTCCTGGCATTATCTATTCAATATCCGTATCCGAGTGTGTCGGCTTTTTCATTTAATTTTTTAACGTCAATCGCGCGCACAAACACGCACGGGGACAACTCGTAAATTCTTTACGCGCGCGTAAGTTCCTCCTTCCTTTATTATTTAACGTTCCTTTTCCGCGAGTGAGTCGTCGCTCCCTGCGGTCGGACGCGAGGTCGTCGACAGGTTACGATGGGCCAACTTTCCGATGAGGTCGATCGCTTGAGCGCCCTTGTAGACCTTCTGTTGGCTCGTGTCGATGCCGACGCCAACGGTATCGCCGGTTTCCTGGAACGCCTTGTCCGACAGATTAGACTGAAGGGACTCGTCCATGTACGGTGCCTCCAGCAGTACAATATTCTCGACAGGTATCGGATCCTTGATGATGGATCCCGGCTTTGGCGTGGTGAATCTCTCGTCGTTCGCTTCGCAGGTGCGCTTACGCTTGTCCTCGTTTGTCATCGCCCAGTTGTAAAGGAGCTGCCGGAAGTCCCGGGCGGCGTTCGTCCCTTCGAGCTTGTCGCCCTCGTCGCGCGTAGTCGCCTTGTCGCGAGTCCTGTCCAAGTAACGAGCCAGACCGAGATCGACGAATCTGTCGATCATCCTGCGCCGATCGTCCGCTGACAGACCCGCGCTCTCCTTCCCGGCCATGGCCTCGCCGTCGGATTGTCGGGTCTTCTTGGGGCACATCGTTTTACAGGGTCTTGTACCTGAGCGTAGTAATATCATACATCGCGAACGTTTCATTTTGTTGTTACAGCTTCTCAGTGCTTAAGAGGACGCTATATTTGAAAATTGTATCGACAGAACATTGGTTTCTTCCGCAAAGTTTACGTCTCATTGGTTACACGGAATTACAACTGCCTCGGCATCGCGAAAGTACGTGCGAAACGGAATTGGAGCATTTTCTCACGTGTGACGGAAACGATTGGAAATTTTAAAACTAAAATCTCGATCGGTCGAGTAAATATTTAAGTAAAAGCAAAATTTTGCAACTTGTACATATCAAGTGTGTGTTTGCTCTAATGGAAAATTTCGAAGGATATTTCTCGTACCTTTTCACCATTGCGTATAAAAGTCTGAAAAGATACGAAAAGTTTGTGGAAAATATTTTATACATCTTGATTAGATTCTTCGTAAAAGAGATGTGGTAAAACAGAGTAGCGCACATTCATCTTACTCACATATATATCGTACTAACATTTACGTAAGATCTATATGTATAAAGAACACAAACGGAGTAGCGTGATCATGTGAATGTTTATGTAACATAACATTCCGAGGATCGCTTCTATGTTATCGATGTTTATCAACGGTTGTCAATCAACAGTTTGTCAACGGTTATAGCATTCCTTTAAGGGGATGTCAAAGTCAACGAATTGATAAGTGTCGATAACGTAGAAGTGATTCTCAATATTCTGTTACGTAAATAGAACGACATTATGCTGCACTTTTTGTATTTTTCATACAAATAGATCTTATATAAATATAAATGCGATATAAATGTGAACGTAATGAATTTATGCTGTTATGTTTTACAATATTTAGTAGAAAATCTATAACCAATATAAAGGGTCTCCTAAACCGTTCCCGCTTCTCGTAGTGTGCAAGTAGAACGGGTGAAACTGAGTGGAAAAATCATATACCACTTTGCAAAATTCGCAGTAGTTTGTGATTCATTATTTTCTCTGAATTAATGAGCGCACGGAAAAGGGTAGACAAGACATTGTATAAAGAAAAATGGTTTATTTCTAAAGATCTAAATTGAAATCTAAATCGGAAAGATATAAAAATATTCTTTGAAATTTTCCCGATTAAAACATTGACATATTCGATATGTACAAGCTGCAGAATTTCCGTATCAGATAAATACTTGAGCTAATTGACAATTTGGAGATATCAGTTGGGAAATCTTTAATAATTCTCGTCACATGTTGAGTAATGCTCCAGTTTATTTTAGCACGTACTTTTATTGTGTATAACTATTTATAATTCTGTGCAGTCAATAAGATGTAAACTGTGCAGAAAAAAATTAATATTTTATCAGCGAAGTTTTCAACGGTATCCTCTTAGGATTATTTTCATTGATTCCGGTTAACTTAACCGATTGATTATTCAATGGTATTTGGCCAATCGTATTGGTCAATTAATTAAACTGATTAATGCGATTAGTCAATTTCGTTGAATTAACCGGTCGCTTAGGTTATCCGGAGTTGGTGAAAATGATGGCGTTTAAGCTCCTCGCTGATCTTGTTCTCCTAATACCAAACTAGATTCCGATAGATTCCGGCTGCTGCGTAATTTTCACAGAATCGTATCAGGAGCATATAACGAGTGTGGAGCTTGCATGACTTAACGCCTCAACCTCCTCGCTGATCCTGTTCTCCTAATACCAAACTGAACTTCGATAGATTCCGGCTGCTGCGTAATTTTCACAGAATCGTATCAGGAGAATATAACGAGCGTGGAGCTTGCATGACTCAACTCTTTAACCTCGGAATTGTCGGGCGAATATTTCCGCTCGAAATTGGAAAGTAAATCTGACATACTCCACCGTCGCAGGAACATATTCGCTCTAATCGATTGTAAAATTCGCTCATACGGAGTCAGAATCCACTCTGAAGTCGCACGTGTGAAGTATTCACTCTTGCGACTTCGAGCGGCGGTATTTTCACCACCACCTATTCTTGTAAATACTGTCGCTTCCGACTCATTTTTCAATGGCATTCCACTCCGAGGTATTTAGAGAGCAGCAAAGATTTCTTCCGGAGAAGTTGCAAACCCAACGGGGTCACGATCGTACCTATGCACTCCTCCTTTTGCCGCGGCACGCGACCCTTGCATGCGTCAAAATTCGCCTGCACATCGTCCTGCCCCAGCCGAGCGCTCGGTTTCACGCATTGGATCTTGCGGTGCCTCATGCCCTTCTTTCCGTCGCAGGCGTTGCATTTGCTCCATTGACTCACTCGCCATCTGCACACCGACCGACCGCCGGACGGACATGGATTTATTCCTTTGCCTTACGTCAGATTAGCCGTGCGGACACTAATGTGCGCGCAAAACGCTGGATCGACGCGCGTTTATGCGCGACGCCGAGTTAACATCTTATTTATTGGCGAACGTGTGCGGGCATACGTGCGTGGCACTGCGTCATCGTTAAAAAAGAAACTAAGATCGTCCGAGTGAGATTCGAGCGCGAGTAGCGTCGATGGATTTTTATCGCCGCGCGATTCGAGCCATTGAGCGAAACAGCGGAGAATTCTGCTTCCTAACAACGAGGAATCGAAGATCCCCCTAGAATTACCGTTACATAGTCGTATTATATCGCTGTATCTTGGAGGTGTGCGAATCAAGCATCCGCGTGGCCGTATCGAATCTTTGACAATATATTCGAAGTCGAATCGAATCTCTTTAATTCGAATGCAATTGAATGTCGCGTCGGTGTCGAATTCGAATGAGATTTTCTGGGATTTACTTACTAATAATTTAATAATCATATAATTTAATAATCATATACGAGAAATCAGGCGATTTACGCGTAAAACACTAAGCTTCATCTTTTCTTGGGATAAGTATTTTAGTATGAATACTCTGAGACTATTATATTGTGCCTCGCCTACGATTAAATATTGCTATATTGTATGGTCCAAGTATTTCAATATCAATGTAGCATGATAGACGGGGTTAAATATAAATTTAGCCAGCTATCGTCCGAGTGAGTTGTGTCGTTCGCTACGATTATCAGCATATTTCTGCGCATTTGAATTTGTTATCCTTGAATAACACAAGGTTAACATTTAATCTTTTTTTCATATATAATATTTTTAATTACTATTTATATAATATTTTCATTGGCTATTCAGTTGTGTTACAACACATACGACTTGTTGTATCACTCGGAATATTGAGATGTTGTCCTCTTTTTTTATATTACACAATATCGAACGCGATATGGTCTTAATTCTATTACAAACAGGTTATGTATAATAGCGAATACATTTTCTGATGATTTCATGTTCTCTTATGGCACTCCGCTAGAATGTAAACGTTCCATAATGCGTGCGATCTTGTAATATATTTTGTGCTTCTTTCTAAATTAATTAAATTATTTTATTTATTACAAATCTATACAATCATGTCTGTTTCAATCTGTGATTAACCGATTTGTCACAGATGATGTTGCAAATTTTGTAAACTGAAGGTTCTTTCTATTCTCATAAATAAAGATTCATTATTATTATTATTATTGAATGAAGTAAAGTCGAAAGACATGACCAGATTCGAAATCGAACCGCCGACGACTCGGAATTATCAAACTATTCGAATTTGAACCCTTTAGATTCGAACTCGGACGATCGCACACCTCCACTGTATCTGTTTGATGGTCGTTTTCAGGAGAATGATGGCAATTAAAAAAGGGGAAAAGTTTCGAGTTTTACGCCACGTTGTATAATAATCGCGCGAGCAGTGAACTGTGTGCCTCGACGGAATTATTTTTGCCGCGTGAAATAATGCGACGACGCATTGTCTACACTTGGACCGATGTCCCGTGAAACTCGCTCAGCTCGGAACTTGCGACTCACTTTGCGGGACAAGGGGCTTGATTGCAGATGCGGCTCTTCGCTTCCGGGCGCGGTATTCCGTCGCAGAAGTTAGGCGTCACTCGGCCGCCCTGCTCCTCGATGCAGGACGCCTCGGATATCTGCGCAAATCGACACGTCCATCGCGTAAAAGCGGTCGCGTTCGCGGTCGCGTTACGCGCGTAATGTCGTCACATAAATTACCATCGTGCCGCCGTCGCACTTAGCGCTGCACTCTGACCACTCGATGAAGTCCCACATGTACTTGGGTGTGTACGACGCATTGCTCGAACTCACGTAGTAATTGTAATCTATTCCGGGATTGTCTTCGGGGTTGAAGAAGGCGTACTAAATAGCGCATAACGATTAGAGAAAGACGAATCCTCTTATCGATAATTAAAGCTTTATACGACCCGGTAGAAATGTATGCAATTTTCATAGACACCCATCTAATTACTGTCTAGTATCAATGCATCCTCACTAGTTGCAACAATACTGCATAGGAAATAGACAGAAACTTGATAGAGTTTCATTCAGGGGTACTTCTAGGACAAAAACTGCTCATTTCATGAGCGGTAGGCTTGCTTATTAATCGATCGATGTATTTGTTATATTAATTATATTAATAATTTTTTGTCCATTTATTGTTCTGTTCGGTAAATGAACTCAGATCTGGCGTATCTTTTATGCGCAGTGGCTTCAGGAGAAGCGTTATATCGCAATTGGAATCCTAATTAATTTTATTTCTCTTTATTCAGTTATTAGGCTGAAGTTAATATAACTGGCCCGATAACTGCTCGAAAAAAAGCATGAAATTTCTATCTTCTATAGGGTTACTCCTGCGGGGCAACGTAATATATCCCGCGCATTTCTGCTCGCGCGCGATCGTGAGCACGACCGCATGGGAAAAGAAATTTAATTACCAGTTCTAATTTTGAACTGTGGGAGGTAAAAACTAGATACAGGGAGAACAAAAGAAATAGCTAAATTAATTAAATTTCAATTGTATCACATGGATGGCTAATTTTTACCCGTAGAAGCTAATTTTCAGCAGTCGCGGAAGCTGCTTCTTTTTTCCCTGTGCGGACAGCCAAAGCGGGGCAAATATTTCATAAATTTGTTGTGACGAATGTTACGAGAATTACAAAGCCCCGATTAAACGACGATTAAGTGCGGATATGCGGATTCTTTCCGACGCTAAAGGCATTATTTCGTCATTAACCCACATATTAATTAAACGGGCGGAAAAAGTGCAACGAGATATATTCATAATGATTACGCGCGTGAGAGGTGGGAGATATATTTCGTGATAAATAAAATCCAACACGCGGAGGCTCTCGGTACGCGCGCCCGGTAAAAAGGCGCATTAGCGGTATCGGGTTTTTATATAGCGGGCCGTTCTCTCTCGCGCGCAAAACCGATAATTATACCGTGTACGTTATTACATCGGGATATCCGTTGGAAAAATAGACACGGCGATAATACCTGTATCTCGACATCTTCGGTTATCGGGCCCTTCATTTCCACTACTTCCTTATCCGGCTCCGGATGCGTGTAGATAATCAGCGTACCGGCGCACTCGTAATCTCCGCTCTGCAACTCGCGGCTACGCGAGCGACGACGTCGTAAAATTGCCGTAAAAACGCGCTACGTTTATCATCGTTACGAAATGTATCTGCGCGTATCGACTTTCCCGCGGACGTTCCGCCCCGCGTACTATCGACATTATAAATTAAAACCGAGAAAAAGGGCGGAAGAGAGAGAGAGAGAGAGAGAGAGAGAGAGAGAGGGGGGGAGGGGGAGAAGAGCGAAGAGGAGGAGGAGGAGAATGGAAAGAAAAAGCAGCAAGTGGCGCGATAATTTGCGGAAGCTCACTTGTCCCCATTGATGCAGTATGTTTTATCTTTCTCGAGTTTCACCGCCAGCATGTTCTCGCTGGGTTTTCTCTCGGAAACGCGCACACTGCGCGCTCCCCTCGGAATTGTCAGAATCTTCACATACTCTGCAAAAAGAGAGACGAACGGTGTATCGCGAGGAGAAGAAGAGAGGAAGAACTTCCCTTCCCTTCTTCTACCCGTCTAGCAAGCGCCGCGGGCGCAATCAACTGGAATTTTACCGCTCAACGACGCCGTTTCGGTGAACTCGCCCTCCACCCGGCTGCATTTCGTCCCGTCGCCCTTGCAGACGCCGCACTTGTCTTCGATCGCGTCCGAGTCTATCAGCCAATCGCATCCGACTTTCTGCGAAGTGCGAGAGATTTGCGCGCGTCATGCGTCGGCTCACTAATAAGTGCAAGTTGCAAGCGCCGTGTCCGCGAGACAATCTTTCCCGCGATGGTATTATCAAGAGCAAAAATACTTGACGCAAATTTCGCCCGCGGACGCTCTCACGCCAAGTGTTTGAGTTATTTTAGTCCGCCGCGCGATGTATGTTTCACACAGTTCCGGGAAATTTGCGTTTGTTAATTAACGGTGGATTACTCTAAGCACAACAAAGTAATTGCAATTAGATAACGCACGTAAATAGCAGGAGCCTTTCCGCTAAATCCAATTATGCCAGACTAGCGTAAAGGTTGTCATGGACGCGCAAGTATGTAGCGGGGTCTCCCCCCCCCCCTCCCCCGTTAATTATTCCGAGTTTGTTGCTAATTCGATTACGTGCACGCGCGCGTGCTTATGCTTTATTTGCGGGTATATAGTAGGAGAGCGTAATCTCAATTAATTAAGAATCTCAAACGGAGATGTCTTTGCGAAATGTGCGGAACCGAAAATATCGGAGAAATTTGTAGCGCGTATGGGAAGACGTCAATAAAGTTGGAGAATCTGTCTTTCAATTTACATTTACGAATTATGCGTTAACCCTAAGAATATCTAATATCTGCTATCTTAATATCTTGATGTTGCAATAACATCATAGGTCTTTCAGGCCTACATCGCGAAAAGAACAATAAAGAGGCCATATTACTACTTCTGTTTCTCTTCAACCCATTACGCTGTGTCACTACATTTTTTACAAATAACGTCCTAAGTAGTAAATATTTCATGATTTTGGGTCCAGAGTCGATCGAACAACATTTTCACAAATGTAATCGTTCAATTCTCAATTTAGAATATTGATTGTTGACGAATTGATTGTACAAAATGCAAATGAGGGCCATGATATCACCTTTCCCTCTATCAAAATGTAAATGATTGTAATGAAAAACGTAAGGAAATTTGCTGAGGGTTTTTTAAGTAAGGAATTTTAAGAAGATAGCGTGAAGATACTGTCTCCTGGCGAACAGCGAAGAGTCATTTTCCCCGGCGCGGCGACTCAAGCGTATCATGACTTCGCACCCTGCATGATCCGGAAATGCACATGTGATTGGTTCCCGCCTTGCACGGTGTCGAATCGTTCGCTGTCGGCGAAATCTTTACGAAGGTGCGCTTCTCGTTGATGCAGTAGAGCGCGCAAGGATCTAATTTCGGATCCATGTACGGCTTCCATTGATGAAGCCCGTCTGTCAGGACCTCCTCGTTGTCGTGCTCGGAGCACTGCACCGCGCGGTACGGCGGTTTCGTCGGCTCGCAGGGCTGTGTGCAATTCAGCGCGAGAGACGTTACAGACGAGCGCGGTAAAATTCGGCGCGCGAGAAAATTCTGCGTCGGGAGTCGTCGCCGAGAATCGTCGCGCCCCATTCGCGCGGCCAGGGAAAAAGAATCGAAAACGAGTCCGGAGGGTAGGGAGGAAGTCTGTGTCGAATTCGCGACGGTGACGGTGCGTTTCCCTTACGAATACCGCGCGTCGGCACTCGTCCTGCATTTCATCCGGCTCTATTTCACTGTCGGGAAAACGCGGAAAAATTTTACCCGCGAGCCAGCCGGCCGACAGCGGCGATAATGAGAACAACGCGGGGAGCAACGGGGTGATAAGAATAAAACAGAGACGCGAGCGTCCGCCGGCGTGCGTAGCTCATGCTCATCGCTTTAATTCGAGCAACCGCGCGGAAGCGTCGAAACGGCCACCGGGAGTAATCACACAGTCGGACGACGACGACGACGACGACGATGACGCCGACGACGAGCGTATCGCGCTGGTGGAGCGCGGACTCGATTATTGAAGCTCGCGCGCTCGAGCTGACGAGGAGAGTCGTCGTCGGTGGGAGCGATGGAAGAGGTAACGCTGGGCAATTTACCGTGGTGTTGCAGGTGAAAAGCCTCTTTCTCTCGCCGGTGCAGTATCTACCGCTGTTCGCAGGTACCGGCCGGTCGCATTCCCGCTCGGCGTACTTGATGCCACCGCCGCAGGTCCTGCTGCAGGCCCCCACGGGACCCCACTCGCCCCATCCGCCGTGCACCGCCGCCGGCCGAGTGCCCATGTCCACGCATTTCTTGTGAATGCACCACTGGACTCGCGCGACACAGAGAGACAGGTAGATTGATCACGTTTCTTTTCATCATTGCGATTTGGGTCAGCTCAAGCGCGGAAATATACAATAGGGAGATACTTTTGCGGAAAATAATATAAAAAGTACATAATGCGAATAGCACGTGACAGAGAATTCGGAATTAGTATCGTGCAAGTGATATATAATTCATACGATGCACAGTAAGGTACGTAATAAAAGAATTTATCTTAAGAACGTTCCATTGAAATGTTGTGTTACTTCAACGCGGAGAATGTGTTGGAAAGTACATGAATTTAATGGTAATTGTATCGGTGTATATTGATGAGATGAAGGTTGATAAGATGATGATTTGATAAATCAAATAAAATCTGGTCCTGTTAGATTGTTCAATTGTAGGGGTAAATTATAGAGCCACGAAGAGACAAGCACGCGGCTGATATAGTGCCGTAATAAATAAAACTGTTTAAATAGTCGAAGTGTTTAGATAGATTCAAACGTTTCGGTCATATTTGACTCTCTCCAACGAAGACACAGTATATAATATATAAGAATATAAGTAAAAAGTCAATGTCAAATCAACATCAATGTTACATAACAAAGGCACGGCTACGATCGAGTATTGCAAATTCAGATTCTGTCTCATCAGCGCAATAATTCACGATATTCAATACGCTGTCAATATATTGATCTATATATATATGATGTGTATATTGGTGCATATATCCCTCATGAAATTTACCCCTATTGCTTGTCCGGGAGTGCCCTGTGTATTGGTGGATGTACATAGTGGTAATTTAACATTATATTTGTGTACTTTTCAACACATTAAACGCAAAATTACAGCGGATTGTTTTCAACACAAATCTTTTTACCGCGTAATAATATTAAAATGAGCAAAATTGTGGATCAGTAATAGCAACGGACAAAATGATGATATCATTTCTACAATCAAGAACTAATAACCACAATAACAATGGATACAATAGAAATGTCTGTAAGATGAATCAGGATCGCGTCATACTATTTCAGTGAGTCGTTACCACAGTCCAAAGTAAATAAAAACAATAACGCAATAAAGAGGAACTATTCATCTCCCCGTTGTAGTAGTAAGGAATAAAACTCGGACTGAATTCATCGATAGTGCGGGCATTGCATACAGGAGGAGGAATATTATTCCGAATTCCAATAGCGTAACATTTAAAAAAGAGAAAGAGAGAGAGAGAGAGATAGAAGAGACACCGCTCTTTTATTATATCGCTTTTATCCCGCGAATTAGAAGGATAGCGATACGTCTCGCGGGCTGCCCTGTCCCCTCCCTGCACGTGCTCCCCGCGAATACCAATTTCCAGGGCGGGGAGCCGCGAAGTTTCCTGACACTTCAATTTATTTCCACCGGCGCGATTAAATCTACGCGCCGCCGCCGAAGGCGACGAAATCTACATCCGCGAGGAGCGACGCGACGCGGAGAAGGCGCGTCCTTTAATAAATCTCCCCGCCGGAGACAGAAACGTCCTTTTATTCCACGTTTCCGACGGCGTTCCGGGACGCGAGTAACGCGTCTCGCAAATCGTTCTCGACGGCAATCGCCGTTCGCTCGCTCGCTCTCCCGCGCGATTCGACGTCCGCCGATAATTGATGTTACCCCGCGGCGACCTCATCCGCGGATTCATAAACAACAATAGCCGGACTTCCCCCGGTTAAATAATCCGCGTATGCGAAACGTATGCGAGGGAGGGGGGGATCGGGGGAAGCGTGTGAGCTGCAGCAGGGCGCGCGCACCTTGTTCTCGCCGCACTTGGTACCGTCGGCCTTGGGCGTCCCCAGGGAGTAGCAGCTCGCGTTGGTCAAGCACCACAGGGTCTCGCAGGTGTTCGCCTGAAATATACACGTGGTCGCGAGGAGACGCGGGCTTAATCAGATTAGTCTTTGAGGAATAGGAACGCCGCAACCCTCGCGCGCACAATCCCCGGCAATATCGAACTGTCACTCGGTAAACAGCGCGACTGCGAAATCCAACTAACGCCGACGGGGATAAACGCGCCGGCCGTAACTTCGCGAGGACGATGATTCCATTCGTAGAACGAATGAATCGCACGGCCGAGACGCGAGCGATAATATCGGATATACTTTGCACCGGGTAATTGAGCGAGATTAATAAAAGTCGCTCAATTTCCACCGTCGAGTAAGCGGCAGATGAAGCGCGGAACTGCGAGTGGCTGGCGTGACCGTAAAATTGACTTCACAATGTGTGTATGTGTGCGTGTGAGAGAGGGATCGGATCTCGTTAAGCGATATAATTCGCGGTTCGCCGCCGTTCGGACTAAGACGCGATTAAGGTGAGATAGGAATTGTGGAAGAATTTACCTGAGGCTGCGTGCACACCTTCGAGCCGGGAAACTGCATCTCGCATTGAAAGTCGGCGCCGTACATCGCGCCGGGCAACATGTTCGGATACTTGAGTTTTTCCGGAGGACTCCTCGGATTGTCGTTCAAACACTCGCCTAGTCCGCTCCTTGCGGACATGGAAAAGGTTTCGTAATGTGTGGGTGCGCGCGCGCGTGTGCGAAACGAGTGATATTTGCAAAATTAACGATCATCCCGATGGCCGTTTTTCTCAGAGCGTCGTAAATCAATCAAGCGGCGCTGCGAGTATTCTCGGTGGGCGCTTCGATTAACAGCGATAATAAACAGTACCGAAGTGAAATCCCGCTGCTTTCCCAAGATAGTACGCGCATACGCTGCATTGTTATAAATTTATTTCGCGGATCACGCGGAGCGACTGAAGATTAACGCCGCTGCAATCCGATGATAATGTCACTGGGGTAATTAGCCGATGAAATCTACGATAAACGTATAGAAATATCCCCGCGGGGAGTCGTAATGCTGACCGGTCCGGCATAAATCCACGATATATTTACGATAGAATAATATTTTCCCGGAACTCTGAGAGCGCGTCGAGCGGCGTGTCGCACGCATGCATAAGGACCGTGCTTGTTTGCGCAATCAAAAACAGCCATTACTTACGCTACCGACTCGACTTACTCAAGAAAAGCTGTTATAAATCTTCGGCTGCAGCTCGACCATCTGATGGTGTATATGAAGACGATGGGAGACATAATAAAGTAGCTATCGTCCGTGTCCTGCGACGGGCATCCACTGGTCTCGGGCTCGTCGTGAGAACAACCCATACTAAAATAACATTTTTACAGTCGGAATATACCTCGTCGTCTTGCTGTTGGTTTTTACGTGTGTGTGTGTGTGTCGCAATCGCGGAATATCGCGACAATTGTGAGATATCTGTGGGAAACCACCACTTGAAAGAGGAGAGAATCATTCCCGAGTGGAAAAGAGCTTCTTACAGAATTAATCCTTTTTCTTTCCCAGCTTTTCTCAGCGGAAATATTCCTCTAATTTTACGGGACCCCCCGAATCTGACCACGTCTTAACGTATTTGTTTGCCGAACATCAGCTTTCTACTTTGTAATCATGATCGAGACGTATGGACAGTACACGTGACCGACTTCGTGTGCGACCACGATGCCGAGCAGGAGACCGCTATCCTCGTTGATGCAGGCAGCCTTCGTCGAGTCGCAAGCCGCGGCGACGTGAGCCAGACCCATCAGGTCGCAATTGGTCCCCTCCGAGCAAATGTCGTACCTGAAAGTGTACGCGCCGCTTGTGCGTTGTGCACGACGATTACGGTGCTCCGACGCGGGGAGAATTACCTCGTAACCAGCGCCGCGATGTCGTAATGATTGGGATGCGCGTCATCCTTCGGATTCATCTTCTCGGCCCATTTCGAAAAACTCGCCAGCGTAGTCTCCGCGGCTGGACTAATCAGCAGATCTATCTGCGCGCGTCGATATTCGGTAAATCGGGAATTAACCCAACTATATTTACTCTATCGTGAGATAAACACAAATTCGAAAGAAATTAAGGATTAGAACTGGAGAAAAGTGCTAAATTAGACGCACGCCGCCCATCGGCTGACTCTTAGACATTTGCATCTAATAAGTAAAATATCGAATAAGAAAGAGAGAGAAAAAGTTTGGTCGTTAAGAACTTTGCCATTGGATCGAGGCTGTCGAAGCCTCAGTAGTCTAATTAATATGGCGTCCTGACTGGTAAGAGGGAAGTTTCACATTCGATTAACTGGCTGAGGCAGTATATATATATATTTTTATATATTTTTTTTATTATATATATATTTTTTTGCAAAACTTATAATAAAAATTTCCACAAAGTCCGAGGAATATCAGAGGGATATTAATTAGTATGAATATTAATTTCGAGTTAAAAAGGTCAGCTCGAATTAAAAAGACGTTTACTATACAAACTACACGTATGTTGAGAGAGAAAGAGAGAGAGAGAGAGAGTCTGAAAAAAGAATTCAGCGTGTGCATTACACCGTCGGACAATTTTATTCTTCTACTAAGGTTTAAAAATTAAAATTATTGCATCCAACATATCCAGTGGCCAATTCTTACGACTAATTTCTCTCTCTCTCTCTCTCTCTTTCTCTCTCTCGCTAGTTATTTACCTACAGAACTTCCAATATTTTTCTTCAATAAGATATCGACGCAACACCAATTACGGCAATAATCTTTCATTTATGCAAGACGTATCTTACATTTTACGTCTTATAATTTTACAATAATCTTTTAATCGCTCATTACCTCCTCTTTCTCCTTCTCCAAGTATATCACACGCACCAACACGACGTCTATTTGATTTCCCACGGAACTGTCGTGATAATAATCGGACACCATGTTCATGATCGTCAGAAGATACTGCTCATAATCAGTGTTGTTGTGAAAGTCGAGGAACCGCCGATCGGCGATTAATCCGATCTCTATGTAACGGTGTATGCTGTGCGTGCCGGTGGACACCGCGTCGCGCTTCGCGCCGACAGAATTATTTTCCATTAGCCGCATTTGCCTTTTAGCCAGCTGCTCCGCCCACGCCGACTCCCAGTTGTCTGTTAAAGCAGCGGGAATGAGCTTCCGCAAACTACGCGCCACTATTTGTCACTTGTGCTCGTAACTATGCGAAATTCTCCCACATTATTCCGCATAATAAATGTCCACGACACGGGCTAGGGGGGAGAGGCTCGGGGGAAAGGGGTAACTGTGCCGTCTCGAGTTAAAGCGGAATGTTAAAATAATATATGGTAAAATATCAACGACGCCCCGGTACTCGAGAATTAATCGCGAATGTAGAAATTCAACGCGGTCAGTGTGCAATAATTGCCCGATTGTTGATTTCTTCCTGTCAATTATTAATTACTAAGAATGAGAGTGATGTCTCGTGATTGTACTAACCGCTGGTACCGCAGTGCCTTTTCGTCACGGCTGCCGAGCTTTTTTTCTCGTGCGGCGCATCTCGTTTGTAAGCCACATGAACGTGCCGACCGTCCGCTTCGGGTTCGGCCTGATAGACTGGCTCGATGAAGTACCGTCCGTGATTAGTTTGCACGTAACCAGCCTGCGTGCGCGCGCGCGCGCGCAAATATACACACACAGGAGAGAGGTGTGTCGCGTTGGCGATAATAATAAATGATAGGGAATAAAGTATCGGCACCATTTGCAATATATGTTAACCGTCGCCGATTGAAAGTCGCCGTCGCGGGATTTCGATCGTTCGCGAGCGTTCGACGTTCGGGATTCTCGTTACGATTAGCGTGTGAAATTCCCCACCTGACAAATATATCGCAGAGTCTATTTATTTCGCGTCGTCCACCGCGTGTCAAGATTCATGGGTGAACGTTAATAGGAAGATCTAATAGGAGACTCCACCAGGTCGGATCGTGTCGGATTATTTCAACCTTTCGACGCGGATCGTAAGTTACGACGGGGAACGTGGAACTTCGCGTTCATGTTCAGAGATATTTCGTTATGATACACTTCATTACGGTGCGGTTGTAATACACATCGAGAGAATGTCATGCGAAAATTGATGCGGACGCCGGCACGCCGTCGGACGCATCGCGGACGTTCGAAACATCGTCGAAAGGCTAAACGGCATTATACTCCGCGTGACATTTCGGTGCGGCGTTTCATTATTTCAAGGCGCTTATGGTTACGAATTTTATCCTCAGCCAGGTCACCGAGTCGAAATTTTAGTCACCTTTAGTCAGTTTCATCGCTATATTAAGTCTCTAGTTAGTTCTACATGAAATCTTCAAAGGTCTTCCTATCGTACTCATTTCATGCCACAAATGAGAAGTTATCATCGTCTTCTCCACTTGAAGACTTAAAATTGACTAGATAACCTGAACAATTAATTAGATTTAAACCTTCGACCGCGTTCTGGGTCAAATAGAGGTGAGTTGTATTTTGAAAACTATAGAAGAGAATTTCGCGATTTACGAGTTCTCCCCATTCCCGAAAAATCGTTAGAGAGTCGCTCTGTCCTTTAGACGTGGTGCGAATCTGATAGGCTGATTGATGCGTGTTTGGGAGCCGTCCGAATATAACACAGGGTCGGTTAAATCCATAATGTGCGGTTGGCGCATAATTTAGCGTCACAAATTAAGAGACTTTTCTGCTGAAAATTTGCGCGAACATAAGTAAGCATTGCAATTATGCGCATTTTTCTTGAAATTAATAAATAATAGTTATATTAGGGTTAGATGACGTGTAACCTACACAAGTGCATCCTACAAAGCGTGATCCTAAATAACTTGTTATTATATTTTTTTAACTATGCGTGTTACCATTTTGCAAGTAAAAATTAATTCCACATTAAATTTTCAAAGGACTCCTATTTTGCTCCTTTAATGTTACAAATGGGAAGTTATTGCCGTTTCCTCCACTCGAAGACTCGACTCTAGAACACCCTAGACTTAATGCAGAATTAAAATTTCGACTCGGATGGAAACGCAGGACGTCTCCGCGTCGAACGATCGCGTGAATTCGCGCGGCCGGCATAAAGAGAGAAAGAGAGAGAGAGAGAGAGAGAAAAGGATCGTAGATGGCAATCGCGCGGTTCGTCGACACGCGGCGCGACTTTGCGCCTAATAGAATCAATTAGGCGCTCGTTTCGCACAGCTTGCAGTTTATCTGCACGCGTAATCGTTCGCCTTGTACTCTGAAAGTAATAAGTCGCGGCGGAAAACTACTTTCGAGACTACCGGGGATATGTCGTCGTCGGTGGCGGCGTATCGCTTCGCGCGTTCGACGCGATCGTTAAATTCACGTTTCCATACCCATGCCACGTATTAATCGATTCGAATTAACTAACCGCGTCATTTCCTCGTGATTTTTTCTCCCCTTCTAATCGAGCCGGAATTCGCGAGGAGAAAGAAACGCGCTTCGGCGCGCCGGCGAAGACCGAGAACGCGCGCGTGCGTTTGTCCGTGATACCCACGACCGTTGTTCCTATTTTAACGGCGTGTTCACCGATGCGGAAAAAACCGCGACGAAGTCAAATCCGCGATACAATCTGATCCAGCGTGCAGTGCGCTACAATAAACACTGCATCGTAGCCACCGTGCGTCGATCGAGTGTCGGCGTGTTACGCGCGCCGCATTTGCGGGCTTGCTCGACCGACCGACCGAGTCTCTTATTACGCACTTGGAAGCATGCATATTGATACGATGCACATTTGCATGTGCGCTCCTCCGCAATGTCTCATCGATTGCGCACTGTATCGGTCGGTCGTAAATTTCGGATTGAAAAGAAGGCGGCACAGCACCCACTCCCGGCCGCGACTGCTTCTGATCAGGCCAGTCTCGCGATCTCGGATGCGGAATGCTCGTGCGATTTCATGGCGGATCTCGGGCGTAATTCGTAAGTATTGCGCCGCAAAGTTTCACGACCGGCGGCACGCGTTACGCGTTGATCGTCGTACACCGGGAAAAAGGAATTGGTTGTACATATAATACAACTGAGATTTAGTCACCAGACCTAGTTTTCGGCTGTGGGAGCTGAAAACTAGGTAGGTGAAGCCGGGTATGATGAGTACGCTATAGTTAAGCAAGTTTTAAACACATTAAAGTAAGTAAATTAATTTGATTTTACACCGAAGTGATCTTTGGACTATCTATCTGTAACACAAGTTTTACAGCGAAAAATTCGTTCAAAAGGACGGAATTATCATTTTATTGAAAGCGTGCGTTGGCCTCATTATGTTTCTCATGCATAATGGGATACCTCGCGAAACTTGTTTATTTCCCAAACATTTACCGTTCAAAACCCTTTTAAAAGTGATTTAAAACACGTGATATATGTAATGCGGCGAGAAACATCCAACAGTGATTATTGCGAGACATTTAATTACACGGCGGCACCCCTGTAAAAAGTTATCGACCACCCTATTATACTCCGTCGTCCCGTCACGCAGGTTCCCCTATAGGGACGAAAAATTAGCTAAGTAAACGAAATTTCAGTTGCATTATGTGGACAGCTAATTTGTAATTTTCATCTTTATTAATTCTCGGAGCTAGTTTCTAACTGTGATAACTAGGTTTTTTTTAGCTGTGGCAGTTAATAAGAGAATTCTTTTCATTCGCGTAGCGTTTCGAAACCTGACCGGCGTCTGTGAACGCAGTCTGGCGTGTTCCGCGCGTTCACAGGAAGATGCGAGCGACCACCGAAATAGCCCGGGGTATCGTCTATCGAGAGGTTTTGTTATAAATTGCAATTACATCACGAGCTCCGTCGAGCGCGCCGCGCACGTTCAGCTCGATATTACGAGCGTGAGTTTCGCGCGGGCGTAATAAAACGCGGGCGAGCGTCACCTCTCTCCGGACACGAGGAGCGAGTCGCGCGCGATGCGTTCCCATCGAATTTCAACGGGGGCATCCGGAAATGTTTCGGTCTCCGCGGCATATCTGGCCGACTGCGCGCGCGCTCTCGCAATTCTCCTCTCTCGCTTCGTTAACGCTAACCTCCCCGAGGAATCCGCGGAATACGCATTACGTGCAACAACTACGCTCCGAACCACTTCGAAATTCTGTTCCACCTCTCCGGCAACAAATACTCACCCGAATTAATATCAATCCGTGCCGAGCGTGCGCGTGAGGACCGACAAAATCCGCCTGGAGGCTCGCGCAAAGTTAAGCCCGCGGCGGACGGGTGCGGTTTTTGACCGGCGGATTGCTCGCTAAATGAGAATCCAGCCGATCGGAAAGCAGCGTTTCTTATTAGAAGTTACATATTTGCAGATTTCATTAAAATCCAGTAGGAAAGCAAGCGCCGTGTGCTGCCGTAAGCTTTCGAGTCTTAGCAGAATGGCTGACTAATCGGTTTGAGGCAATATTTTATTGCCTTAAGTCTTCGGCTTTAAGTATTATATTAAACTGAAAGGCCATTCTGTTTGTGATTAATGACAAACCGGTGTATAATAGAAATAAGTAAAAAAGTGATGATTTAGACAAAGATTGTGGGCGTAAAATATTGTCTTCAAAGTACAAGTCAGCCATTCCGCTAAGACCCTTACACGCGCTCGCGTCGCATCGATATATTCGCGAACGCGGCGCGTTTTGAAATCGATCGACCGAAGAGGATAAATGGAGTACCGAGTATCGGACGCGCGATAAAAAATTCATCGTTTTTTCTTGCAGTCGGCCAATGTATCAAAATGCACACAGACAATTTTTGTTAACCTGGGAATAGTCTGACCTGGGGTCATTTCATACCCCAGCGGTCAGAAAATAAAGCTCGCGTCGCGATCGTTTACATAAAAAAAAATAAGGTGACTATTCCTGGGTTAAACAATGTAGCATATTAATAGCGTAATTTGTTAAATTTATATTGCGCGGCTAGGATATATTCGTACTGAAGCCAAAATTTATATATGATAGTAACAAACGAACAGTTTGATCAGATATATTTTTTAACCTAATTGTACGAGATGTACAAGAAAATATCGGAAAGGTAAAAAATTCCATACTGATACATGCATTTTCGATGCTGCAGCTTGGATTGCTCGTTATTTCTAATGCCAGTATGAAAAAAAAGTTTGTCTCGGGTAGCAACTATTGTTCAACGTATAATACTATAACATATGCGTGTCCATCAGAACAGCAGACAGGTTATTTACAATATTTCTGACATTGACGATGGCCCGGGCTGTGATGTGCAGTTGTAATCGTTGTAATTCTGTCCTTTCTAAATTTCTCACACTGTCTTAAAATTACTTCAACGTTACAAATATATACACGGTGACCCATTTTAATCGACAAACGGAGATATCTCCGAAACTAGGCAACCTACGAAAAAAATATTCGGATAAAAGTTGTCGAGGACATTGAGGGTGATCTACTTATACTAATGACTTTGACCTTGAGGTCAGTTTTCAAGGTCATTTCAAGGTCAAGGTCACTTTTTAAAATGGAACCCCCTATTTTTAATGCCGGATTCAGAAAGAGCGGGAAATTTTACATTTAGATATGTATCAAAGTATAAGGTTAACGTGACCTCCATAGGTCAAATGAAGGTCAAGAAACCACCCCTACCAAACCCCAAACAGGTGCAGCAAACGTAAGAAAGATATTTCGTCACTTCAGATTTGATGAATTAATAGTTTTAAATGTTGCCCCGTACAGTTTAATTAGAAATTTTTTTAACGAATTAAACTCTCTTTAAAGCCACTTTTTCAGTTTGGCAGGCTACCTTGCAAATAAAATTAATTATATGATAGTAGTTTGCCATAACAACTACCTTGCTACATGAAGGCTTTTACTAAATGTTTTCTAGATGAAAATCATCCTAACAACTGAGCAGTTCGAAACCTACCTCAATAAGCTCGTGATAGAAATCTGGTTCGACAACGTCGACATCATGAATACAACGAAGATAATACACGAGCTTGTGAGTCAGTCTACTTGTGGATTAGAATTCAATTTATTTTAAAGAAAAAGAAACGATTACACTCGCTGTTCCCAGAGTTAGGTGGTTTAGCCTGCTTGGGGTTTGGTAGGGGTGGTTTCTTGACCTTCATTTGACCTATGGAAGTCACGTTAACCTTATACTTGGATACATATCTGGATATAAAATTTCCCGCTCTTTCTGAATCCGGCATTAAAAATAGGGGGTTCCATTAAAAAAAGTGACCTTGACCTTGAAATGACCTTGAAAACTGACCTCAAGGTCAAAGTCATTAATACAGGTAGATGACCCCCACTGTCCTCGACAACTTTTATCCGAACATTTTTTTCGTAGGTTGCGTAGTTTCGGAGATATCTCCGTTTGTCGATTAAAATGGGTCACCGTGTATATCCTAGCCGAGCAAGATTACTTTATTATATTTTTCCGGTTCATCAATATTTATATTTTCGAGAGAAATTCTCTGTGTGCGATCTCAGATAGTACAAATTTCTAAAAGATATCTTAAAAAATAGGACGTCAAAAAGACATCCTATTTTTTTAGATATCTTTCAAACGTCTTTAAGAGATTTTCCAGAGATCTGTACTGTCTGGGATATTAATGCATAGTCGGCGTCAAATATGCTATATTATTTTTTAGATCGAAAATCACACGATTCTCAGTCTTGCACGTATACACACATAAGATGAGAACCATTATAATTAGAGCCATTATAACCCTATCGTTATAATTAGAGTTGCTCATACGATTTTCAATCTTATGAGTTATGTACAAGGCAAATCGCGTAATTTTTGTCTATCGAATGATACTGCACGTGTGACGCCGATTGTACGATCCTCCGTGTGTGCGTATCACACACGCGATCGCACGGGCATTACGTCACAGGCATTAAGCGCTATGGGTACTACGGGTACACCGTATAGAAGCTAATTAACGCGCAACCGTGCCAGTACGCAAAGGGCGCCGCGGCCGTCCATACCTCCGCCGTGGCAACAAAGCGACAAAGCGCAAACGTGCCCGAGATTCTTCTCTCGGTTCGTTAACAGCGGCCTCCTCGGGGGAGAGTTACACGGAGCCCGACGTTACATGCGCTACATACTAACCACACCATCGCACAGAGAGAGAGCCGCCCTGGAATTGTCGTGGCCCCGAACGGTGCCGCGATAGTGGCACTGCCGGTCGGACGCCCTTCTGAATCTCAAGCCCTCGTTCAGATTAGTGCCGAACCCGGCGCCCCCCCGCGTCTCCACTACCATGTCGGGCGAGATGAATTCATGGTACGGACTGAGCTCCACGTGGTGATCGATCCCGTTGAAGGGCAGCACCAGGTGCAATTTATCGGCCGTCCCGGTGGACCTCTTGCCGCGCTCCCCGATCTCCCGGCGGTTATAGAAATTCGGCAGGGAATACGTGCTGAAGCTGCCGTCCCCGAGCACTCGTCGTGGTATCAGGAGCTCCGGCCCGTGAATATCTCGGGTGTACCTGGAGTGGTGCGCGAGGCACAATTACGCCAGCAATGACGGCGCCGCACAGGAGTGTCACGCCCGACGGTTCACGAGATCGCCGACGACTCACAATTTTGCAAAGGTTCGTTTCTACTTGGACATATCGTCATTCTCTGTATCTAAGTTATTATCAATCTCTCGCCGCATATCTTCGGTAGAAATTTCATGCGTTTTTTGAACAGTTATCGGACAGTTTATTGACTTTTGTTTAATAACTGATAAAACTGTTTGGGATCAAGTAGTTCCAATCAAGATAACTGCTTTTCCTGCAGTTACCGCGCGCAAAAGATGCACGAAATCTGAACCTATTTACTATACGAAAATAAAGCGATAAATAGAGGAAAAACGATTAAATTGATTATTAAGCAAGCTTACTGCTCATGAAACGGGTAGTTTTTCTTTAGAAGAAAAATTGGTGAATAAAACTCTGTCAATCTCGTCCATTTCCTACGCAGTATTGTTACAACTGAAGGGAATATATTAATATTAGACAATGACTGGATAGGTGTCTAGGAAAACTGCATACACATCTATCAGGATGACACGCGAGCTCTCAACCTCTTGCGGGACCGAACGAAATTTTCAGCGATCGCGAAATGCGAATGCACTCACCTACCGTGGTACACGTTGCCAGGTGCGCTTGCATATTTTTCGAGCAAGTCGCCATCGACAGCCCCGGCGAAAAACGTGAGAAGTGTCAGGAATACCGTCATAACTGTAGGCTCGCGCTAAATCAGCTTGGATACGTGCCTGAAGTTGCCGGATGTCGGCGCGAACAGCAAAGGAACAAAACCGCATTAAGAGACGAGCGTAAACGCGTGTATACTCAGTTATTATTATGTATACGGTGACTGGAAATGCAAATTTGCAAGATATGTTTATGCACCGGTCTGGTTAATGGCACCGCCGATACAATTAAAATACAATGGCTACTGAATTAATACTTTATAGAATATTGCATGTAAAATTTATTATTTATTTGGAATTAATCTCCATAGAGGGACGATATAAGAGAGGGGGAGGGGAGGGGAGAAATATTCGCATACATAACAATTATTTCAATGAGATAATCTGAATATTCAATGCGATTTTAATTTAAATCGCTGAAAATAGATGGTCCGTTTGATCAGTTAATGGATATAAAGATATATTACATCATGATCATACTTTGCAAATTTGTGCATATTGAATGTATAAAAACAACCGTGCGATGCAATATACTAAAATGTGCGAATATAATATTTAGGTATATTTTTATTTCCAAGTATCATTCCCCTTCAAAAAATTGATCTCTCGTTATACATTGTTAAAAACAATAGATCTCCGACAGAATCGGATATTTTTGCGAATGTTTTTTAATCGGTAGATATTTTGACCGACGATCCTGCTCGATATCGTAGACCTCGCATGAAATTCTTCGTGAGATTTTACATCGCAAACAGAAAATTCATGGGAAGGCGGGAGAGATTAATATAAAATTAGGGTCTTATCACCTCATAATATCGCCCGTTACGAAGCCTGCTACTTCCTAATCAAGAGAGAGAGAAAGAATGAGAACGATCCTCGATTTTCCGGCACGATATTCGAAACGGCATGCTCGTTTTGTCGCCTATCCAGCCCTTATTTGGCGAACTTCCGCGTACATGACTGCGTTATCGGAAAACGGGGACATAAAGCAGCGGACAAATTGAAACCTGAAAATTCACGACGACGATTTCGTCGTACAATGTTTACACTCCACGACGAGTCTGGTCACGGTTGAAGTTAGCGGCGACGTTTTATGTATAAAGCGCAAAGATATTAGCATTCGCATTATCGACGGTGACGTTCATTCAATTTTACTCCCGGCTTGCATTAACGTCAGTCATTTTGCATATACTTTTGCCATGCACTTGTTGCATCCAATTCGACGTCAACGACAAGAAGCGAGGAAGATGAAAGCAGCGCCGACGTCAAGGAGGCACTCTCGCGGCCTCCTATTAAAAAGACCTCGAAGAAAAAGGTAAAGTTGAAGTGGCGATCAAAGCATGCAAGATATCGTTTTTGTCTCGTTGTTCCAGAAGAGTCGCATTATGAAATTTATATGAAAATCATGATAATGTGTGCGTTAGTATTCGAAGAGAGGCAATTATATTGACTTTGTAGCTTTAATTTTGTTATAATAATATCAGTATTTCACTCGCGAACACTTTCAAATTTGTCACGCTTTTTCAAAACATTTTAGATATATTAGATATACTAAACATTTTAGATATTTAAGAGTTGAACAAATTTTAATTGATGTAGAATGTTGCATTATGAATAAATGTTATAATATTTGAGAGAAGAGAGAGAAAGAGAGAGAGAGAGAGAGAGAGAGTCTATTTTCAGTGGCAGCGGAAATACGAGTTCAAACGGTTATTATAAGGGCCGAACGTTGCTTCTTGACTCGCCCACTGGATGCCCAACGGATGCACGCGCGCACGTCTGCGTATGGCTATACATGAATCGGGCCAAATATGGGTCCAATCGGCCTCCGGAGCGGGTCTTATAGTCGAATCTTAGTTTATTTTTTGGCCGCCGCGTCAAAAGAGTGAGCGCAAGAACAATCGATACCTTGTTATCCTTTAAGGCCGGACGCGAGGGAAGTTCGAAACCAGTAAATCGGTAAATCAGGCTTCCACGGACGCCGCTCACCTACCTACCTTCCAACCTACCTTCCTACCTACCTACCTACCTACCTACCGCGAGAACTGCGGAAAGAGTGCATAAGTAATCCGTGGTTTTGCATATAAATGGTAATAATAATATAATCGCAAGTTTTCGAGTAAAAATTTTGGTTTCACATTAACCCGCAGATTCTGTTGAACTTCAAGAAATAATGGAGAATCTCGGGATATAACGTTATACACGCTATTATTTATTAATGCTGGAAATTGCTACTCACCGGCTTTTTGTTAAGAATTAAAAGAGAACTTATTCAAGAATTATTTAATATCCGGTCAATTTAATAGTCTACATATACTTAATTTTTTTTCTTAATTTCAGTAAGCGAAATATTAATTATATAATTTATTCAACTTCGGATAGAGTATGTGCGATGAGCAAATATGAAATAATCTAATAACGATTAATAGGTAAGTTGGTAAATAAAGTAACAAACTTTCTTCTTTCATATTTTTTACTTATTTTCTATTGATGTTAATTTCGATGGAATTTAAAAATTCAAAGGATTGGAAAAAGGAGCAGTAAGTCATTGTCGTTAGTCGGTACATTTTCTGTGTTTTGCGTTCCGTCTTGGAATTAGTTTTCTAATGGAAGAAAAACATTTTCATTTCGACAAAATAATATTTAATATTAAACTCTGTCGTATATATTAAACAAATCCAACTCAAATAAATACATATACTAAATCCAGACAAACTGTTTTCTCTGTGCATGTGCAATCGTTCTAATAATTTGATAATCTCATAATTTAACCGCCTGGGAGATTCGAAAATGTTTCGACAATGTTGCTTGTCGTGATTCTTCGATCAACGAATTTGCTTATCATTGATTGGCGGACGATTATGGTTTGTGACTGACCGTGACTTTGCCTCTTTCGAAGGTATCGATTGTTTTGATAGACTAGAATGCCGTGTTTTTTTCCGTGACGCGTCATTAAGTTTCGAGTCAAGTGACGCACATATCGCGATGCGATGTAACGGTGCTTTGTTTACAATTCCTAAGTGATTAGAATATTTCGTCAGCTATTGAAATCGAGTCACGTCGGCATCGCGTCAGTTACTACACGTTTCTTTGATCGAGTCACGTCTATGCGAGTGTTAGTGCCAGTGAGTGTTGGAACTGCAGAGCAGTCATACACATACATACATACATATATATATATATATATATATATATATACGCGCGCGTATATATATATATATATATATATACTCGCGCGCATCATACACACATATACACACACACATATATACAGAGATGCAAAATGCTAAATCGGGATACTAGGATGCAGACTTGCAGGACGCGAGCAACAATACATATCCAGGTGTGTTGAATTATTTATTACACTAAATATTTCCTATTTTAATGGCCGTTTAGTGAACTCTAAAAAAATTAGGAGGCACCTGAATCGAAATTTAAAATCTATTCTAAAGATGAACATTATGATTGCGATTTTTTAATAAGTGCTTCTTCAAATCTCAAGATGGAGAAAATGGCAATAAGTAAATATTTGTAGAGTCAAAATAAAAATTTTAATAGCTTATATAGTGTTATATGTTTCGAGGACTTCTGTTAATCTCCTTCAAGTTTAATGGAATTTGTAGGATTAACATAGAACCAAAATTTCGTCTCGGATTTCCGAGCCAAAGAGAGCGGAAGTTTGATGAATAAATTAAACAATGTTGCCGGGCGGCCAGTCGGCTGGAACAACGACCTTATCGATCAATCGATCGCGACAGCTTCTAAAGAGACCAATGAATAAATTACAGGGTGTGATACTCTACAATCGGCGGGTCCATTAACGCGAGAGCTAAAAATTGGCGGGTCGATCGGTCCACGGTATTACATTGTCGTGAGTAATTACAAAACCGACGCACTTTAACGCTAAAGCAGCGTTGCTCTTTAAAAATGTCATGTCTATAATTTATCGTTCGTATTTAGGAATTATATCAACACTGCGTAAGACAATCAAGAAAACATATGAAAGTTTCCTTCACCGATTATGATGGGTTTCGAATATGTTGTAGAAATTAAAAATGCATATTTTTTTTATATACACTGAAAAAAAGATTTGGTAATAACTACCAAGCTTGGGTCTATATAAACAGTTAGTAACTATTATCACACTTGGTACCAATTACCAAACGTAGTGCTGAAACGTTCAACCAAACGCACTTATTAGCTATTACCAGACTTCGTTTTCGTTATGTATTTTCTCGCACATTTAAGGTTTCGAATTTTCTTCTGAACACCCCCTTGCTTCAACCTCCAGATGTGCTAGGAAACGCATAAAAAAGTGCGTGTATCTTACTTTTAGACCGATCTCGTCATCAAGTGACTCTCGTCTTCGGCTGCTCCGGCCACCGAAGTCCGTAAAAATCCGCGAAAGACACATCCATATATTCCCTTGCAAATCGTGTACAGGAAATACTCTGGACTCGGCGGTAATATCAGGTTGCTCCTGCGTCTCTACGAGACCATCGTCCTTCTCTCGCATCCTCCGCTGCTACTTTTTGTCATTATCGACTATATGCATATTCGATCGTTATCGCGCACTCTCTAGGAGTCCCGTAGCAGGCCGCGGAATGTAAATACATAGTATTCCTCTCCTCCTTCCACTCTCGCGCGCGCACCGTCGTCTGGCTGTGTCAACCCCGCGGATATACCGCCGTCCGTAGATGAGAGCAGGTCCGGATGGGGAGCTCCGGGTGGTCTTTTCGCGCTCATCACTCCGGCTGTCGATGACAACCGGTCGTTGGCCGGCGGGATAATTAAGGACCTACCTGCGAGCGCCGAAGGATGGAGAGAAAGGAGTTAAATTGCCGGGGCTGGGGATCTAGGGATGACGCCGTATGCAACGATGTAGGCGCCTCGAGGCGGCGCGATGGGGCCCCCGTCGTCGGCCCAACGTCGTCTCGTCGCCGGCGGCGACGGCGACCAGTCCGGGAAACGCGCCGTGTCGGCATGTCCTGATGAGTATTCGTATGCACGGACCACATATTGGCGGCATTAAACGGCCGACGACAAGCGGCGGTCGCGCGAGCGGACGCACCGTCCGGGACACCGAGTCGTCGCCGTCGTTATTTACGGCCCGTAACTCCTGGGTTTTGCATAAGCGGCTCGTCCAGCGAGAAGGGGAGAGATTAGGGTGTCCCGCCGGGCTCCCTTCCTCAGGATCCCCGCCTAATTCCTGTTTATATGACATCGGGGCGCGGCCGTGTTCGGAAAGGAAGTCGGGGGAGTCCGGGTTCCAGCGTTCTTGCGGCCGATTTAAATGGGATTCCCGCCGAAGAGAGTCGCTCGTTTCTGCTACATTCGCGATTCTCGACGACGATCGGCACGAAAGAGAGAGAGCGCACGTTGCTCGCCCTACATCGTTCTCCCGACTCTTGCCCTTTGCACCGGCGATCACGCTGATCCTCGCTGTACTTCGTCGGTCCCTCCTCGGCGCAAAACCACCGACGAATCCGAGTTAAACGCCATCGTCGCGCGGCGCTTTAGACGTCGTTGAGTAGCACGAGCGCGCGTTTTATGCACATGAATGGAGGCTCGATGCATCTCGGTGCGGATACGCTCCGGTAGGCTTAATCAAACGCACACCGACCGGTCCCGGGAGCTGATTCAACGTTACGCTCTCGTACGTCATACATACGAAGGGCGGAATCTCAAGAGCAAGGCGTGCAGCCGAGTTTCAGCCGGGACAGGCAAAAACGACCGTGGCCGCGGAAAGAGTGGGTGGTCTCGCTCTCCGGAATGGAGTTCTCTCGCGGAGGTATCGAGACGCCGCCTCGTCCGAGGATAGTACCTACGGCGAGTAATAAAATCGCAGCGGCAGCAATAACACTGCCGGCTCCCCCCGCGTATTCCGCGGCCGTAACCTCATGAATAACACGATGAAGCGTCGCGATACGATCGAGCCACCGGGTATAAGCGCCGTAGAAGTCGCGGACGCCGCTCCGCACTAACTAATCGGCGCGGATTTATCGTTTATCCGCGAGCGCGTCGCCTATCCGTTCGCTTGAATCACCGCGCTCCGCTCGCGAAATTGCCGATCGATTCCGTCGTGAGACCGACCGGGATCTCGCGTATTCGTTATTATTGAGAGAGCCGACGACGGTGTCCGAGTCGCGCATCGCAGACAGCACGGAGCAGCCACGCGCGCGAGACCTCCTTGAGTTGACGTAATATTTTATCGGCGATCGTGCGCGCGATTAATCGTTTGTCATCGCGACGACGGCGCGAGGTCGCAATTCGTCTCCCGTCCGTTGAATCCCGGTACGCTGAAAATCCCGCGACTACCTCGCGACGACAAGGGAGCGCGCCCGTCGTCGTCGTCCTCCGGACCGAGCTGAGTGAATTAATTGTCCGCGGAAGATATACGGCTTCGGCAACGACTCGCTTGATAATAAGCAGGTAGCTGGCAGCTATTCGCACGTCCTACGAACTCGCGGCTCGCGTGGGCCGGCCATCCGTGGATTTTCGAATCGATACGGCGACGACCTTCGCCGGCTGCGCCGGCCGCTGGGTAAGATCACCGACACACCGATAATACGGTATCTGTACGTGTAAATTGATAACCGCTACACCGTGTTCTCCCGCGTAGCGCAGCTCATAAGCGGTAAAAGCACTTTCTATCAACATTGTGGCCCGCCACGCTGAGCGACTTCTAAGCGCGAGACCAGGACTTTTGAGAACGACTCGTGCGATGTCTCTATGCTTATCGTTCTTCCTCCTTCTTCTGCTTCTTGTTCCTCTTCTTCTTCTATTGCTTTTTTTCTTATTTTAGGGATACCACTTGTGTGTCGCGCATAGCGACAGGTTCAACGCTCGAAGTTCAAAGTTCGGTTTACCGATGTCTGGCGCTAGGACAGTTGTGTTACTTGTTGATCGGGCCATTCTGAACGAAAAGGTCCTTTGCCATTTTGTAAATAACACGCAAATGTTTGAGTTGTTAATTAAAGAGGCCTCCACACAGTAAAACGTTTCATGTTAAAATCGATCTACTGACATTTTTTTGTGTTAATTTAATATAGGGAATATGTTAAAAAGTATACAAATGCATGTTAAATTGACATATTACTTTTCAATATATTCATCTTGTTAAAGTAACACAAAAATTCCAGTACGTTGGAAAAACCCCTTCAGTTGATTCAAACAAAATTTTGTTTGGATATGAGCAAACAAATGTTTTGGTTGTGAGAATTAAAGTCGGTTCTCTGGAGCAAAGATCCGGTTCTCTGGAACCAAACTTTTTTTCATTTTCATCTCAGAGAAACCAATTTTTGCTTTAGAGAACCAATTTTTCCTTCTTACAACCAAAACATTTGTTTGCCCATATCCATATGAAATTTTGTTTGAGTTAACCAAATGGCTTTTTTAATGTAGGCCGTCTTTAATACAAAATTTTTTACTGTATATCACGGCAATTTTCAATTATTAACTCGAAGATTTGCGTGTTGTTCGTTAAAATGATAGAGATTTTTTTGTTCACCCCAATCCGTCCTACGCTCTCACGAAGTTTGTTCCTGTTGGTTTGGGACACCCTATATATAAATGCATGCATTGGTATTTACAACACGTTCTTATCATCTTATATCATATATATAAAAGGGAATTTGTTCTCGTTCAACAAATTAATATAAATAAATAATAAATAAATAATTATATTCTATATTCATATGTTGTCATTATACGTCAATTGAGGAAAGTTCTTGCCGTTCTCGCCTATCTGCGTCATTACGTCAATCATATAAAATATCTTCGCCGTTATTGCCCAAACCGCGATACGGGGCGCATCGTAGATCGATAATTGCATTCATTTCTCAATCTGTTACAGTGTATAAGTGCGACTTATCGAACTGAAGACTTTAATCTTTCGCAGTCCCAGCTACGCCAATTACGAGCGCTTATCGCAATTTATTTAATGCCCTTGAAAGAACTATCTCTTTGAGACGGCAGTAACGGTTTGTTGCGCGTTTTAGCTTCCTTAGTGGAGAGATTCCTCTTTGGCATCGCTTTCGAAGATAATCCCGCACCGACATTTCCGACCTCCATCTCTCTCTCTCTCATTCTCTCTCTCGGATGCTGTACACGTGCAATCCCACCTCGCCTCCCATTTCGGCATTACACGTCGGAGCTCCTTTACGCGTGGGATGCCGATGAGCTCGATTTCGGTCGAGCGGGCTCAATGAGGAGAGAGATACAATCCATCGGAGTGCCGGCGGAGGAATACGCTCCGGGACCGCTTGCGAAATCGGGGGCGAATCCCTCCGCCGGAACGAGAGACGGGAGGTATGAAGAGGGACGGTGAATCGAAAGGATTAAGAATGAACGTAACGATAAATTTATCACTGTCCGAGGAAGAAAGAAATAGCCGACGGTGCATACATATTGAAGAATCGGATCAGGAGTGGAAACGCGCGTGTCAGGTAAGATAGACGCGATTCTGCGATATCACGCTTCGTGCCTTTTCTTCATGCTTCGCCTCCTCGATCCATAGATTAAATATACACAGGACGTAAGAATGAAATTGAATACTGTAGGGGGGAGGGAGAGATCTCGTGAAGGATGTAGGCAAACAGTAACGCGAAAAAGCGGGACGAAAAACTTCGTCTTCGCCGAGCGCGTCGGATTCCACGCGCTCTCCTCGCGGATATCGATTACCCCGCGTTACATATTTCCTATCTTCCTGGTCCATTAATTCCTGCGTTAGATCGGTTTTGACTTGGAAAAAATTAATCCGTACATTTTTCTTCCGGAAACTGCGGTGAAATTGGATTTGCGAGCCGATGGTGAAATTAATTTCACCGAGATCTCTATCTTCCACAGACGTGTGCTGCTGCTGCTGCGAGCATTTTTTATCGTCGGCGTCTGGGAAAGGTATTACCGGCTATATCGACTTAATGGTTCCATCGAGAGGACGAAACGGTATATCGCGCAATTAATCCGAGAGGATCGCCGGAGCGTGTCATAAGAGCTCGTAAACCCAGAGAGGAAGTATCCTCCTGCGCATCCTCCGAACAAGCCTGGCTTAAGGAGGGACGGAACCAAGTAGCAATAAAAGAGATACGGAAGGAAATCGTGCGACTAGGCCGCCGGTCTGCTGAGATTCCTCGATCCATAAGCGCGTACCGTCGGGATCCTGTAAATTCTCCGCTGGACGAGTGACGAAAGGGCACACACGAGTACTCAGAAAGTATCATTCCAAAGATTTATAACAGAAAGAGAGAGAGAGAGAGAGTCAGTTCTCAATAACGTTGCAATCCCATTTCTCTTCTCTCCCGCTTCTCATCAGGCGCCGGAGGGATCGGCGTGTTCCCGAGGGCCGGGTGCGCGCGAGTCGAGATCACCGGGGATCCGAGAGCTGCTCCGTAGGCGCTCGTAAAATCAGGAAGAATCCTCGAGGAGAGGCGCGCAAAAAGAGCCGTGCACGACGGAGAATGAGACACGCTCGCTAAAAGCGAGCGAGAGAATAAGTAGAGGGAGACGGCGAGGCGGACGGACGACGACGAGGGAGACGGAAGGAGACCGTAGGAGAGAGGCGCACAGAAAACGGGTCCACGACTGGGTGGAGGAACTAGTCTCACCTAGTAGATCGCCCTGTCGCGGTGTGTGCTTTCGCGGGCGGCCGAGACGCGAACGAGAGTAGGAGGAGGGAACGCGAGTTCCCTTCTACGCGGCGAGAGAGGAGGCGGCAAAAAGGAGAGGCGAGAGAGCACATGCACACGTACGAGGGAGCTCGCGGGCGCGCGTGTATGTGTGGGTGTGCGTGTGTGCCGCGTGCGCGTGTGTGCCCGCGTATGCACACGCGATTTCGCACGGTGTGTGCACCGGGAGGAAACGCACGTACGTGCAGAAGGAGTCGAGAGCGCACGCGAGAAAGAGAGAGAGAGAGCGAGAAGCGAGGGAGACAGGGAGACGGACCGTGTGTATGTACCACCAGAAGAGTGTATCAGGCCACTAGTGTTGTGACGGCGATCGTGCCCACGACTTCTCCGGCGGGCCGCCGGCATCCGCGTTCTATCCGTCTATCATCCGCTCCGTCGCGCCCTCCCTGATCTCTCGCCGCTGTGTCGCCTCTTCCCCATCCCTCCTCGCCCCCTGTAAGAGTTACCTTCCTCCACGTAGGGGGGCGATATCCCTCTTCTTCTTCCTCCTCCTGGTCCCTTCCTCCTGGCCTCCTCCTCCTGGCCTTTTCCTCTCTCTCTCTCTCTCCCTTTCTCGCTTCCCGCCGCAGGTACGATTCCGTGACACGCGTCTCCACTTCCGGCCGCCGAAAAGTGAATTCTCAGGTAACGGGTCTGCCGGAGGCGAGCCAGTGCCAGTTGACCGATCCTTTAGGATACACAGCTCTCGGGGGTGTCGTCGTAAAGTGCGCGAGCAGGGCTCCGGGGTGAGGACGCGCGCGCGCGGCCGCCCGCCCGCGAGAGACCGCGAGTGCGCCGCAGGTGCTCCGGAAACGCGCCACGTGCTGCCGCGACGTCATCTCGCCGATAGGTACGTATAGCGTGCGATTTGCATCTCGCGTATAGCGAGAGATTTGCGGGATTGTTTACGAGCGGCGAAGGTGCGCGGAACCGACGTTTACCGCGATCTTGGCTGGACCCTCCGGGCAGCCGCCGAGAGCACAACCGTGCAACCACGTGCTCGCGCATCCGGCTTGCGCTGTCGGAATTCTTAAGCTTGTCCCCGCGTGGTATTCGCCGCGGAATGCTGGATGAACGTCGCGAACGTCGCGGGAAAACCGGTGAGCCGCCGAGTGGAGGCGCCGGGTTAAGTCAGACTGACGTCTTCGATTGTGAAGTAGCCGCGCGGAGCGACCTGTCTCCTCTTCGCGGCGCATCGTCTACCTCTCGATCTGTCGATCAATCGGCCGGTCGATCGCTTCGTCTCTCTCTCTCTCGCTCTTGGAATAATACGTTTGCTTCGCTTTGATACCCACTCATCATTTCTCTCTCTCTCTGTCGCGCGCGCGCACACACACACTAACGACGCGAATTAATGATATCGTGGAACTCGAGGCGTAACCTCGTCGCTCCTCGCCGGTCCCGAGTGTATAATTGACATTTCGCGTAAGACGACGACGACGACGACGTCGGGCGGGAACGCGCGACGAAAAGCGATCGCACCCTTGGCTTTCCGCTTCGGCAAAGGTGAGCGGGCGAGATTAAAAGGTTCGGTAACGGTTAATCGCGCGCGGATGATCGAGCGGAGCCGCTATCTGGGAAGGGTAACAGGTTCCAGGCCCGCTTTTTACGAGGCCGGCTGATTCGCTACGCGGAAAAATGTCGGCGCCGTCAACGGCTCCGTTTATCTCGCCGTCGGCTTCGGAGGATAAAAATTGCGCGGCGCCGGCTGAAAGCGGGGCGAAAGCCAGGGCAGCGCCGCCCTTTGGGCCGCGAATTTCATCGGCGTTCACGCGCGCGCGAAAAAGAAGAAGAAAACAACGGCGGCCGGCCGTTCATAAATCTCGCCGCGGGATTACGTAAGCGACGTCCGTCTTAAACCGCGGGCATTCTGCTCGTAATAAGCGGCTGTGAATTTTCCGACGGGGCGAGAGGCGGGTTGGGGGGGAAGAGTGAGGGGAAGG